AAATTCTTTTATAAAATAACTAAACCATTCTTCACGGAGTAAGAAACACAAACTATGCTTATGTCTAAGAAATCTATTGATTGCATCCATAGTGCAAATAAACAGTACAAAACAAAAAAAAACATCAGGGAAAATCAATTTTCACAATGAGGACAAATCCGCTTTCTCGTTGAAGTTGAGAGAGAAAATGTAACTTTTCATAAATATTAATGATTCATATACTAGAATAATAAATTAGCAATGGTACTTGATAAACTTCAATATAAATATTCCTTATTGCTAGTTCGAATAGAGTTTTGACTTTAAAAATTCACAATGTTTTCATAATCGAAGAGTTTTACAAATTGAAATATTTTACTAATTCTGTTATGTCATAACAGAAACCTACAAGAAATCTTTATCTACATTGTAGAATAAAAGTTGTCAATCAAATCTTATCTATACAACTTTAAAATGGACTTTTTCTGATAATTCTTGAAAAATACTCTTGAGATGTATATAAACTTTGTTTCTATCTCGAATACTCATCATTAATAGTTTAAGTGTAGAGTGATAGTGAAACAGTCATAGTAAATGAATAAAAGACGACTATCAGCTTTTCTGTATCTTATAGTGTATGTGTATTATCAGGTTTTACTGTATACCATTAACTTGTGAACAGTACACAAAATAGAACTTGATAATGCATAGACTATTAGATAGAAAAAGACTTTCTATAAAAGCCTACATATATTCTTTTTTGTTGTGAAAAATCATCCAAAAACTTATAGTCGCCTTTCCTTTTCACACCATTGAATATTCATTCACATCAATAATAAAAATAAATCAGTTAAGAGAACAAACACAGATTTATCTATCAATTTTGTTTGAAGAGTATTCATATGTATTGAAGAGATTTTTTTTTATCTTTAATTATTATTCGAACATGAATGACATTCTACTTTGCCTCGATCATTTATTTACCAACCAGCAACATTTTTGTACCTGGTTGAATAGCTAAAGATTTCTACTTTCGCATGTACTATCAGTCATCGTTGTTTAAATGTTTTCTGAAGGCTTGACAAGATTTTTTTCTGAAAAAAATCATAATCCGAAAGAGATTTTGGGAGATTTCGTCTTGAAAGACTGTCTAGCTGCGGTATAGGTTTTTCATTGGAGAATATAGGAGACATACGTGGGCAAATATGCGCCATCAACTGTTGTACATGTTTGAAATCAATGCTTTCATTGAACTTCGTGGCGAAAAAAAACTTGATTCTCAACGTCATAATACATTTTGCAGTTTCCTCTTCTCTTGACGAACTGTGACATATACGGGTGAGTTTTTGTCTAGATTTACAGTTCATTAGTTCATACTTTTCTATATCTGTTCTATTTTGATCTTGCTAGAGGAATAATTCCACTTCGCTACTAGTTGACACCTAAAATAAGATCTCGTCACTACATTAAATGCCACAACCGACAATATTTGTATCAGTCAGCATCTACAGTAGAAATCCTATACAACAAATAGAACGTAGATGTCAAGAAAATTCATTTGTACTTGACTATATACGTATATGATAGAATTGCTGAGAAAAGCTCTAAATAGATTGTGTCATGTAAAACAGATTTTCATGAATGGTTTTCATCAATTTTTATTTTATGTAGTAGTCGGGAAGGATAAGATCATTTTTATCTAGTTTAAAAAACATTCTGAAGCTATACTAGCAAAGAAATCAAAGTCTACTATAATATCATGCTAACAGGAACCATGAGTTGTGATTGAACAATGAGTATAGTTTTATTGAATTATTTTTAATTGAATTTATGCTCTTACTAATAATAATACAAGGAAATTAGAAGTCTGCAGAACTGGAAAAAATTCACAAAGAATCAAGCAAATAAAATCAACTCTTAAAGTCTTTGAAAATAAACAGTTATGATGAAGTTTTCGTCTGATTAATCGAAAACAGACATATATTTAGCTAGCAATGTGGACTCACCAGCGATGCTTAATAATTTGCATCAACCATAAACTAAATCAAATCAATTGTAGATTCATATATAATCATAAAAATTTCAGTTTCGTTTATAATACGAGACTAATGAATAGGCTTTTTAATTTTCAATACCAATCTTTGATACAACGAAAACTTCAAGAGATTGCACCAGTATTTAATCTAATCAGTGTTGCTACTGAGGATTATTTTCTTTTTCTCGGAAAAATTTCGATTTCTCACTTCAAAATTGTCATTGTATGAAGCGAATTGAGAACGAATGGAACTTCGTATCGAAGTTTCGAAAATAAACGTTAATCAGATTGATACATTCGAGAGTTTCTTTTCAAAAGCATATACCTTCAAGTAAAAGAAGTCTGTTTAAGATAAACCATTGCACTAATGTTCGACTTGATTATTAAATATATATGAACCATGTTTTTGATAGATCTAGAAATTGGCGTCTGATCTTAAACAACATCTACATTGTTCAATTATTCGAGGATTTAGTCTTAATACTTGAACTCATCGTATTTCTCTGATTGTATATAGTCAAGGTCTATGTAATCAAATCGTTCGTACTGTTTCATTATTGATTTACTCTATGACTGAATCAATGTGAACGCATTTTGAACATCCAAACGCAAGCATACGAATCAAATGTTGTCAAATAATCACAACCATTTCCTACAGTTGCTTTCGTAATTATTCTTCACGCTGATTTGTTCGTTTTGTTCAATTCTTTTCTAGTTAGACAAATTCAAACAATTTGATCAATACTAATTAGTCAGTCACATAATCGTGTATATCTAGTAAACAGACTCAATAAACACCTAATATGATTAATTGAAATATTATTCTTTTTATGCATAGTTTTCTACTGGAGTAATAATAGTGATTCATGATAGTGTGCGTTTAGCTCGAGTTTTTGTAAAAGAAATTCAACGTGTATTTAGACGAAATTATGAATTGCTTTATATGAAAAAGACAAATTATTCCGTATCTTCACTTTAAAGAGAATGTGCCCGAGACTGACGAAACAATGAGAAGCTGTCTCGTCAAGACCAGCCGAGAGTTGTCCACAGACTGTCTTCAGTCCCGTCCTGGATAATCCCGCAAGCATCTTTTCACCAAAAAGGTCGATGCCATACATATGTTCGTTTATGTCACAACAGAAAAGTATTATCGAGCAAAATATATCTACACGAGGAAATGAACTACAATAAATGTACACACACATATTCACAAGAAGCTGAGATGTAAAAATAGAAACCATACTATTCAAGAATAGTTACAAATATAGATTGATTGCAACGGTACACCGACAGTTGAGCCCCGACAAATGAGCCCTCGACAGTTGAGCTTCCGACTCTTGAGCCTCCATTGATCAATTACGAACAAATTAAATCAAAATTTCAATAGCTTTGTTAAACTCAGACGTAGTGCACTGCAGAGATGAGCGCAGTACTGTTTTCTTTCCTTTTTGCTATCTAGCCCTGTCCTGGTGAGCGGTAGAACAGGACATAGATCGTAGTTTTACTCTGTCTTATATCTTTCTGTGATATGCACAATCTGGCACCATGTTCCTATAGTATTAATGACCCGCCAGTATATTTTCCCATAGTTGAGTGAATCATCTTATCAAAAACCAACGTGATAAGGGTGTGTCTGTTGCTGTATGTGAACAGAGCATCCACATCTCACCGCGATTATACCCACACTCCCTGTAGATAACCAAAGCAATCAAGTAGAAGTGGATACTTAGTTTTCAAGGGTATCACAATTGACATAGTATAATAAAAATCGCAAAAATAGAACAATAAGAAAAACTAGATAACAAAAACAAAACTGATTTGAAAAATTTACTCATTGTCGTACAAATAACTGATTTTGCTGTGGAGAAGTACATAGGAAGTGATAGATCTTACAGGGAAATGCTGCAGGCTTCTCTCTATTAAATTTATATTGAATAAAGCTAGTGAATATTGATTTAATTTCTTTCGTAATTGATCATTGGAGCTTCAATTGTCGGGAGGCTCAACTGTCGGAGACTCAACTACCGTGTCACCGATTGCAACGATGTACAAAAACTAATTGAAAAGAATAATTTTCAAGATTAACAAATGTGACGACATGAGACACAATGAACAATTATACGCATACATAGCTAATTCTATATACATTGCACTTTCTATGTCAGACGAATTATATTTTGGTTATTGTCACATCCGTCACTCATCTTTCATCTCATTCCAATGTAATTGACCGTCACTATTGTTCTTTTTCTGATTCATTGTCTGACTACATAAGAGTCGTTCACTGTCACGATCAATCTTCTACTCATGCGACATAAAATCAATCGCTATTGAAATGTACTACATGGACGGTTATTTTTACTTTTAGTTTCATTGACAGGAGTAAGCGGGAGAAGCATTGACTCCGGCCTATCCCGCGACCTTTTGTCCCACGCCTCGTCCCGTTCCGCCATACTTATTTTTTTCTGTCCTCCGTCACTCTCTGTTACGAATTAGAATTCGTTTTTTTTCATCATGCATAGAATTACTTGCAGCAGTCTATAGTCTTATTCGATACATCATAGGAAAAAAAAGACAATCCAAGAGTAAAAAAATCAAAAAAAATAATATAAATATTTTTCATGTAAAATTCTACAAAATATTTTTCTTCGTGCAAAAAAAATTTCGTATGTTGTATATTTAATGATAGTAATAAGGTATATTTGATAAGTCATTTACTTTTATTCAAAGATTGCTAGAATTATTTCATTTCGCAAGAACTTCTTCCATCCGATTCGACAGATAAAATCAGTTTTGTCTAAATGTTTTTAAATCTTAACATGACATAGTATTGATAATCGAGAATTTTTCGAATTTCATAATGATTGAGAGTACAACTTAGTTTGTTATCAAGAACATTAAATCCGTATATTATTTTCCCGAAAAGAAAATTATTTACATGTATAAAAAAAAGAAAGTAAATAAATATGGGTATAATATCACTGTCTTAAGATTTTTTCGACACATCAAGTGGATTCAAATTTCCATGAACCTCTGGTGTATATGTAAAAAGTACAATTAATGTCCATAAATGAAGAAGTATAGCATAAAAAATAACACCAAGACGAACAGCTGGATAACGTTTTAAAAATATGCCTAAACGAATACCAAGTTTATCAAGTTCATTAGCAGCTCGTTTAACTTTTTTTGTTATATCAGGATCATAAGGTGTTTCACGTAATAAAGGTATACGAGGACGAAGTGTATCTTCATGATCATTATCATATATTCCATTATTATCCATATCAATTGATATTGTTGTTGTTTGAAGACGTTTCGATGTTTGTTGTAATGAATTATTTGATGCTAATGAAGAAATTTTTTCATAATCATCTAAACGTTTTTCTAAACGTTCCAATTGCATTGTTAAAGAACTTTTATCTGTTTGTAACGTTTCGATAATTGTTTGTTTATGGATTAAAGATTCAGTTAATGTTTGTAAACGTTTTTCTAATTCATCATCATTAACATGACTTATTGTTTTAGCTGTTAATTGTAAACGAAGTCGTTCTAATTCACGTTCACGTTCATTTAATTGTGTTATATGTGTTTGTTTTTGTTTATGAAATTCGTCATGCATATAGGTTAATTCTTGTTTTAATTTACGATAGTCTTGTTCACCTAATGTTAAATGTGCACGTTCATCTTTTAATTGTTCATTTAATTGATTTGTTTGTTCATGTAATTGTTCATCAGCATGTTGTACAAGTAATTCAGCTTCTTGAAGTTCACTACGTAATGTATGTATTGTTAATTCACGTACTTGTAATTCTTGTTTAAATAATTCATTTTCAGCTTTTAATTCTTCATACTGAACAGATCCCCAACTCGAAGATGCTGACGGTGATGTTGGTGCATTTCCAACAAGATGAACATCATGAAGTGAAGGAATATCGGTTGTACCTAATGTTTCAATGTCTAGAAATAAGAAAAATATAAATCGATAATCGAGGTTTGTTTTAGTTGTGTTTACAAATCAAGTCTACTAAAATAACTAATATGGCGTTGGAAAATCAATATAAAAAGCTGTTAGCGCAAATCCTATGGAATAAAAATGTGAAGTACAATGGAATTGTTGTTACTAAATACATGGAGATTGTTTTATTCTATTTATGTTGGCATACAGTTCTTCATCATCTTTTTCAGAAATGCAATAAAGAAGTAGTTGATATAGTAAAACAAGATATTATTGATATATGGTATATGGCCGAATATCAACAACGTCTGTTACGGTCTGCGGGATGGGAGAGAGTCCTAATTTTTACCGCTGTACTTTTAGAGCGTGTTTCACAGTAGATTAATGATGAAGAATAGAATAATAGTAACTAAAATATATTGCTATAGTCCGTTTTCTTTTTTGTCCCAGTTCAATGACTTGATTGAAATTCACACAAGAAATTAGTCGTAACTTTTATCTCATAGTCATATGACATGATGTTTTGGTTTTTCTTTTCTTGAAAAACTTTTGCTTAATTTAGTTTGTTTCAAGTAGAATCAACACAGAAGAGATCATGTTGCATCTCATCTAGGTTGATTAGTGTAGACTGAAGGTCGTGACAAATCTGAAATTGTTAGTAACGTTTACTAAATCTCTCTGATTTTTGACGAAAATAACCTGTGACAAGTGACAGAAAAGTAGATATTAGAGATAAAAGCGAGAAATGTTATTTCGCTGCTAGAAGTATTTTTCTAATCGCGGCGAAAACGACTATTCATTCTATCTGAAGGAGCTACACTCACTCTCACCTTCACCTTTGTCTTTATCTTCACTTACAGTCTCTCATCGTGACCGTGACCCTTGTTCACTCGAAAGATGGCAACTTTTTTTTATTTCTCCACCATTGTTGGAATGATATGGTTCAAAAGTAAAGATAATTACATTTATATTAGTTCAAATTCTCAAGATTTTTTTCAGTGTATATAAATTTTGACAAGTAAAATGTTGATATTAATGTATTTGTATTATTTTCTTTGTCATGGATTCTTGAGAAAAAGAGACACATCGCGAAGAAACAAACAGTAGATTCTATTATACTTAAAATTGTAATATATATTTGTGCAAATTTGTTTTTTTTTTTATCTTAGACATCCAGTTTATGATAGAAGTTCTATAAGTGATGCTTTCTAACATACCATGTTGTTCACCACTAATTGGTATATTGTTTCTATGCTGTACGATTTCTTTAAGTTTAGTAATTAATTTATCTTTCGTTTGTAAAATTCTTTGTGCTTTAGCTTTATATTCATTCATATCTTGTTCTAACTGATGTGTTAAATTTTTTGCATGTTTTGTTTGTTGTTGTTGTTCATGTATTTGTGAACGTTCATCATGTAAACGTTTTTCAGTTAATTTTAATTGTTCAATTAGTTGTTGTCGTTCATCATTTGAACGCTTTTCAAATGAATTTTTTTCTTCAATTAAACGTTCATTTTCGTTTAAACGTTGTTGTAATTCTTGTTCTAATTGTGTTATACGTAATTGTAAACTATCAAACGCTTGTGATTGTATACCAGATGAATCAGTATGATCTTGTAATATACGTGCACATTGATTTTGTAATTGTTCACATTGGAAAGTTTTTGTTTTAACTAATTCATCTGATTCAGCTAAACGAACTCGTAATAATGCTATTTGTGAATCTTTTGCAGATACAACTTCCATTGAATCAGATTCACGTGCACGTAAATCACGTAATAATGCATCTGATTCAGCTATTTGATGTTGATATTGAATTAGTTGACGTTTATATGTTTGTAATTCATTTTCATATTGACGTTTATCACGCATCAATGTTTCGATTTCAGTCTGAAGTGAAGCAACAACTTCATCCTTAAGATTTGATGATTGATTTGAAGCAGCTTCAGACTTATTATTATTAACTGTTGTTTCATGTTTAGATGAAACATCCTATAGATTTAAAAGAATGAATTAATTAATATTAGGAATTGTTGTTTTTTTTTATTGTTTATCTTACTAAAACAAGACCTTCATCATCATCATGAGATTGTACAGCAGGTGTTATTGATCGTGGTGTACCGGAAGCTGATTTAGAAGATAATTGTTCAATTGGTTTTGATGAATCATCAACAAACATGTTAGGTGAACTAGCTGTACGTGTTGTATCACTGAGTACATTATTAAACGGTGCTGTACGATTTGTTTTATTATTTGTGAGTGTTGAACTATTAAGATAATCGATGAGATCAGAATCATCATTTTTTTTATTAAGACGATTTCCAATAGTTGACCGATTTGTTGAATCAAAATTTAACGTTAATTTATTTGATGAATTTAATGAGGAAGTATCAGATATTGATTCGTCTGTCATTTGTTTTGTTGTTGTTTTTATATTATGTTGATGTACAGCTGCATTTGTTTGTTGATCAACTCGATTAAGAATATCTTCGGCTTGTTTTAATATCCAGGACATATTTGAAACGTATTTTAAATTATAACTCGATACGGTTCGCTAACGATAAAAATAAATATAGGTAACTATAAAAAAAGTGCCACATAACAGAACATAATATTGTGATTCACATCAATTAAGGTTGATATAGTTATATTTACCAATTGATTGGCTGAAGATAGATGTCTCCCATATCCTTTTGATTTAAATGTAAATCTTTAGTTGTAAATGCTGATTTTAGACTAAGTTTGAATAGATAAAAATAAACTAAATTATGGTTTTATGAAGTACACTGTTTTCGAGAAATGCAAAACAAAAAATAACAATATCAATTATGTGTGTGTCATTTGACTGTAGAAAGGATTTACTATAAAGAAAATTACCCAAATCGGTAATTGCAACACCTGGCTTCGTGAATTTTCGGCAGGTCTGTGTTAGAAAACTGGGGAAAATAGTAGGATTTTAGCCACAACGATCCTGTGGCTGAATTCTTCTAGTGTCAGATCATAACTTGGCAAAGTTGTTCGTCAAATTCAATCTTCGGATTCCTCATTCTAAGTTCCTAAGTTTTTTTTAAATCTTCGGAGTGAAAATAGCCTGTCTCTCTGGATCTGGTTATTCATATGTAGTTTCATTGAATGTAACAATTAGATAGAAACCTTTATCTGATGTGCGTCTTTTAGTGCAATTGTTTACACATCTAATCTTGATGAATGTCTCAAAGGCTCTTGGACGAGTTTTGCACTCAATTGTACTTTAACAAACAGTGAAAAGGTAGCTCATTGGTTTTTTTCTTTTATTAAACAGAGCGTGATTCCTACTATAGAGCGGAATATTTTACTTACGAATATTCATCCACTAGTCATACAATTACTTTGGATATCATCAAAAGTTATGAAAAACACAATTTAAATTTCTTCAATTTGACTTCTTCTTTCTTGGAAAAAATCAATATTTCAGCTAACAAGGGAAGATTCTCAGGTTTCCAGTCGATTTTGTGTCACGACTTTGTGTATCTTGTATAACTTGATGAATTCTATCTACCATAAAAAACCAGTTCGTGTCCCTAGCTTGTTTCTGAGGAGATCAAAAGCTTTTACTATTACAGCCACAAGCCTCATCCTATTAGACACAAGTCACTACATCAGACAATATAAATTGAAACGAGATGAGATTTTGCTTATATATAGTGGTACTCATATGGTAGATAATATGATCGTTTAAGCTCATATGATATTGAAAAGACGAGTTATCGCAAATACTAACGTGACTGTTAGTATTATTAATTATACATCTTCTTAAAATTACAAAACCTAGAATTGAAACTAAGAATAGTAAGCACCAACATCATAATACTATTTTAGATACTTGATAATTGAGTGTGGACGTGGGTATAGAAGTACTATGTAATTATGGTTCCTTAAGTTCTGGTTTATCTCTTGACCCACACCGAAATACGGTACAGAAAAGGGTGAATTTCAAAAAGAATTTCCACTTTTATTACTGAAAATAGTCCTCTAGAATTAATGTTTTCCTTTCTAATATTCATATAATTTATACTCTATATTAGTATTTATTCATAAAAACATTCCTTGCATAACATGAAATATTAAATTTCTTTTTATTTCTATGTTATGAAAAACATCATATTTTTGACAATTTTGAAAAGATCAACATAAAATCGTCATTAGTCCTATTAGCTGGAGAAATCAATGATAAAATAAAATTTTATTTCGGCATCAGTATATGATTCAATTTGTTATAGTCCTTTAAGGGCTCCTCTTAGAATTGATTTGCCACTTAGAACGGACTGTTTCGGCTGAAATTTTCAGGAATAAATGCTCCTAGTGAGAAACGCTTGCGGTAAAAATTTCAGCCTGATATACCCTAGTAGACCGAATTGCCAGCTTATTTCTATAGCTTCCGAGAGAATTGAAGTAGCTTCATCCTTATTAGAGGTACAGAGCTCGAGCTGGTTTCAAATAGAAGATAACCTCTGCGCACAATTGTTTTTATCGAACAGAATTTGAAAATTCCTTCTATTAATTTTTTTTATGAGCATTTTAGTGGACATGGTGTGCAAAATAAGCATAAAAAAGATGACTCCTTCGACAGTAAATCTCACTTTTCTTAATCCATGAATCAAGTATCAAAAATTCATCCGATGAAAAGTTAGCTCTCATTCAGAGCTTTAAGACAAAAAAAAACATTAGCTATTCGTTGAGTCGAGTGGGAGTTATTTCAATTTTCCTGCCTGGAAACCATATTTTGAGAAGCACAATAAAAACTTTGAAAACCAATTTTTTCATTCAAATACAGAAAAAAAATGTATTAAAATGATATATTCATAGTATGTGTCAGTGAAATGTTTTAAAGCACTTAACAAATCATATAGACTACCACTATCGGTCATACTGAAGTAAATATAATGATTGGTTCATTGATGATACAAATAAAAAGGTAGTTTTTCCAAAAGTAAAACAATTTAAAAAAACCACGAAAATTTCTGAAAAATCACCGTAGTAGGGTCGAAGTTTGCTTGGAAAGTCTGTTAACATTTGGTCACTTTGCGAAAAGCTATATACATCTTGAAAGAGGAAATTTTGCTGCATCTTTCTATGATAAAAAGTCAATTTTTAGCTTTTCTCGAAAAATCGGATTTTCTGAGGAGAAGATCCTTAAAAATCAAAATGGTTTACCACGATTATTCGAAAACTTCTTATTTACGTGCGAACTATTCGTTAGATAATTAACATTGTGACACATATATGTATCAGAACTAAGCAATTATTTTGGCCTGAAGCGTCTTTTTATTTTCTATCTCTATAATTTACATCAATAGGCTTTGGAGTAGGTCTTGTAATTAATTTTCAATGATCGATAAGACTTAATTAAGCATGTAGATTTGATTTGAGGTCGATATGTTTTCTAGTGAATGAACCGTTAAAAAGAAGAAAGATATTACTTCATTCGAATATCAGGGATTATATAGTAATGGTTTTTGTTGTCTTTAGAGACGTTCCACAAAAAAAACGAGGATTTTTGAATATCGAAAAACAGCGGGGTAAACAGATTTCGACTTTGACCCCATCATTTGGGCAAAATGCTGAAAAATTCTATGTAAATATAATAATTCGAAAAATTCATTCTCGTTATTCATAAATATTTCAGGCTCGTTTTGTTAAAGTTCTTAATATTGTTCTGTCATATAATAAGTCAGGAAAACTTACAACTAGCATCATTAGATACTCGCGAGATCATGTTTCACTTCCTGTTATATCAGTTATAATATGCTTGGCATACAAGTAGATTCATAGGCAATCATTCAGGTTCATTTCTTTCTGCTAAAGAAACCTGCTTGACTTTTCATAATGTAGCATGCCGTAGTCACTGCTATGAATTCTCTCCATACATCTGATCAAGATAGAAGAAAAAATTAATAAATTATGGTGACAAGTTACAATTATCAGGTATCTGAAATAGTATTATGGCATTGGTGCTCACTATTCTGAGAGTTTCAATTTTCTGTCTTGTAATTTTAAGAATTTGTATGATTAATTGGCGTTAACAACCATGTTAACATTTGCGATAACTCGTCTTTTCAATGTCATATGAGCTTAAACGATCATATTTTCTACCATATGAGTACCACTATAGATAAGCAAAAATCTTTTTCGGATAGGATGATTCTTATGGCTATAATGGTTAAAATGTTCGCTCTCTTCAGAAACAAGCTAAGGACACGAATTTTTTTAATGGTAACCATAATTCATCAAGGTGTACAAGATGTAATCTGCGAAGCTAACTTTTGCACATTATGTAAACAATCATATCGGCTCTTACTACACACAAAAATCATAGTGAAATTCTACTGTCTTACTGTTTCTAACAGAATACTTTTTTTTTGGTTTTTGGAAACTTAAGTATTGATTGTTTGAAGAAAGAAAAAGTTACCACTTATTGTATGTCTATTCCATAAGCGATTAGAATAAGATTCACTATGACAGAGAGAACTCTTCAAAGATTGAAAGAAGATGTAGAAAAATTTCATTTAAATATTTCTTTGAAAATCAATTGAATATTTGAAACTTTCCATTGGGCTAAGTTTCAAAATTTATGTTAAGAAATTCTCAAAAACCATATTTCTGTAAAGAAAAACATGTTTGAGTTAGTTTGCTCTTTTTTCTTACAAAAAAGATTTGAGCAAATATACAATCTAGACATGATTTTCGTTTTAAGTGCATGTCGTTTTTGTACATATAAAATTTGTTTACAGCTAAAAACTTTTGGGTAGTCGGAATTTCACCAATAGAACATTTGTCAATGACAACAGTACGATGGACTTTTGAAAGCTGTCACGATAAAATATTAATGTAGAATACATGTGAGGACTGAAGCTAATATTGTTAGAATATATATACCATAGCTTACACTTAGAGTATATTGGAATATCAGCGAGTCATGTTTTTAATAAGAAAAAAAAGATCAATTAAGCATAACCTAATGTTCATTTGTTAACAGCCTAATAAATCTACATTGATTGTATCAATTCATGATCTTGTTTTTGACTGTAGCAATTTGTTGGATTTTACGAGCTGCTTTTACGTCTCGGATTTTTCTCTACGTTGTTCCTTTAGTATCCACAGCCAGATTTGCGAAATTCCGAAACGCTGAACTTTTAGTCTCTTTTTTCGAAGTTTTATTAACATAAAAACAATTTCATTGCTAATCCAAAAGTAGCAATCAGCCAAACACGTTTTGTTAAAGTAGAGATTTCGCTGTATGTAAGAAAAGGCGACTACTAGAGTACAGTTGAGTCTTTTTGCTATAGTCTTTATTTAAAAGAGTCCAATATATTGATTCTTTTCGAACAGCGAGACATGGGGACATTGAATGATTGATTGAAGCGAAATCAAGAGTTATCGAGGTATTTGTTTCTATAGAATAGATTTTTTTCGAGCACCAGGACATGGGGACATTGAATGGTTTATGCTATTTAGAATAGCAACAGATTTGCTTTTCGATTCATTGATTCACAATCGGAATATATATATGGATTATTGATTATCTATTCGATAGGCTTACTATGAGAAAGTTTATCAATATTAGATTATAGTTTAGAATTGGGAATGGCCTTTCTTTTTTACAGTAGATTCACAAGAAAAAGAAATTTACGTTACTAAGAACAGACAGACACAGAATGTTTCTTCAATGGATGTTTCACGGTGACAAACATCAATGGACCAATTATAAGGAGTTGAATAAAATTCATAAAATTCTAATAGTCGCTAAATAAGAATGGTTCAAAATGAAAATTACCTATATGTAAATATTTTAAAATAATGCAGCATATATAATAAAAGCTCAACCAATCATTTAAAATCGCTAAAATTGCAAAAATTGAACACAATAGTAAACAAACATTAATTATCATGTGACTCATGCTATTAACATACGTTCCAGACGCAACTGAATTCTCATGTCAACTGTGACATATATAATATTTAATATTCAACTAATATTATGATTTTTTATATTCTTTTTATATGATATGTCTTTTTTTTTAGAATTCTGAACTTTCTTTCTTATTGATTTTATTAATAATTTAGTTGTGTACAGTTTTATTCATAAGACGAATAAACTATATAGTTCCCGATTTATTTTATTCATTGAAAGATAGATATTAATCATTGTCTAAACATCAATTCGTACGCTTATTGTTCGATCACTGATGAACGAAAATGAATTGATATTTAAATGAATGTTTGATATTTTTTTATTTTCAAGCCAACAAGCCGAACCAATTTGAAGTGGACATTTAAATGTAACTTGAATAGTACAAGCAAAAACAAGTGAACGTAAATCATCATAAACAATACGTTCATGTCGTTGACAAGATAAATTTTCCATTAGAATAAATGTTTCAAGATTATTATTATTATCATATTTAATTGATATATTTGCTTGTTGAATAATATGATTAATTTTTTTATTATATAATATTAAATCACTATTTAAATTATAATAAATCATTGTTTCAAAGCCAAGTACAAGTTTTGTACCATTTTGTAAACGTGATTGATTATCAAATAAATAAAATTCTGTATTATTAAACCATTGAAATGAATTTATTGTTTCAACAGTAATGATTCCAAGACCATAACTTGTTGAATTACCTGTATATACGTATATACCTGCTACATGTTCTAGAGCTTGTTTTGAAGATAATGTTCCATGACATTTATCATAAATGTTTGATGAAATAGAAGGATTAAGTTGATTTTCATATAGATAATAATCAACTCGTTTGTGTATATTTTGTTTGAATAAATGACGATTTTGATAAGATATATTATTTCGATCATTATATAAAGGAATTTCGATTCCATGACCCAAATGAATGATTTCAATACGTGGTTCTTGAGCTACGTTGTTTATTTCAGAAACTGCTTTAAGCCATACTTCAGCTTGATTCACTGTTAAATTGGCAAGATTGGTTTCAACTCCATGAATACAAATTGTAAAATTATGAAATGTCCAAAAGAGAAGAAAAATGAAGAGTATCATCATGATATATTTCACAAAATAAATTGATTTGTTCCATTCAATATAAAGCTTTCCTTGTTATTTGATATCTCAATTGGCCTTGTTAGTCATGGAATTAGAAAAATATGATATTTTTCTTTTTCCATATAATACGTATTCTTTAATTATAAAGAAGCCTCTAAAGCATTTTCAATAAAATTCCGGAGTAAAAAACACAAGAAACGCATTTGGTGATTCAAAATTTCAAACGAAAAAAAAACAAAACATCATTAGACATTATTTACAAAGACATAATCAGACTTAAAACAAATAGTATACAATGCAAAAATAATCATATACAAAATAAGTGTCGAAATTCTATATCTTTTCCAAAAAAAAAAAAAAAAATAACTCTGGAAATAAAGCTTTTTTTGTGTCCTATTAATTGATAAAAAATATTCTTCTCTTTCAAATCGTTTATAACTTTTTTTTTTAACCATTTGCGGATACCGAAACCCAGGTTTATAGTAAAATATTCTATAATTTTAAGCAGATTGTCTCGCGAGAAAAACGCCTGACATCAGATTTTTTAAATTTTTCTGTCGATCTCAAGTTAAAAAAATCAGTGTAATTAACTCTACATCTACAAATCGTCTTTTTTTAACAGCTAAGTTCTATCTAAAGACTTAAATTATATGAACATATTTAAAATCAAGGCATAATATGTTCAAAGTCAGACATTTTTGCATCAAGGATTTTTTTTATAATTTAAAATTGATTGAAAAGGCCAGCTATTTCATCGTTGATTTATTTTATAAATAATATGAATCAGAACATAATTTAGAAGGGATGACCCAAAAAAATACTAGTCATCGACTAAATAAATAAAAAACGACTAGGGAAGAATTATTTTAGATGTGACACACATTAACTCGAGAATAGTTTTATCTAGATCGGGATCCGAAAAACTAAAATCACTATGACCAAATCGGGGCTAATACTAAAAGAAAAATTAGTGTCGCACATCTCTAGTTCATAATTTTGTAGCAAAGCCATAATACAATATGAGAAAAGCTTCATATCTGATCGATAAGAATATAATGATTGAAAATTGCTCTATTCTTTTGAACTATATATCATGTGTTTTTATTGCACATGCATAAACTTAATGATGCTTATATAATTATGATTAACTATTATTTTATAAGACATTTCTCTTTTCACGTGCCTACATATATATTAAAAACGCAACTTTCTCTTATGATTGTTTCTCTTTGTTCTCGTCTTATTTTGTTTATGAATATGTAGCACAAAAAGCTTCTATGTATATGTCGTGCCGAAGTTATAACGATTGCCCAAGTTATAACTTAGGCAATCGTTATAACGACATATATAAAGTTCAAAAGAAAAGAAAATTTTCTATCGAATAGTTTGAAGAAACTTTTTTCCAGAAGTTGTTCAACGATGAATTATAAGCATCGACTTATTTTCTAGCCATGACTTTTTGCATCGTATAGTATTTGTTGAAAAATAAAATTAATTTTCGCATGGTGGTAATATTTTTGGTGGAGAACACAATTCTATAACATCTGTTATTGCTGCAATAGGTAGATATTCATAATTATTCGTCTCGGTTATGATATCCTCATCAACGTCATCTGGAGTAGACTAAAATAGAATAATAATAAATAAAAGAAAATATTAAAATATATATATATATATTACTGTTTGTGCTGAATATAGATTACTAGTGGGTATTGAAACACTTGATGATGTATTATGTCGAACAGAATCTTCGTATCCATTTGGACTTGCTCTACCTTGTGTTGCTCCATTTTCACTACTAACCTAGAATAGATATTATTTATATGAATCGTTAGCATGATATTAAATATTTTACTGGTTTATATTGAAGTTTTCGTTGATTTTTCCAAAAACTATATATATGAAAAAAACTATATATAAAATAAAATAAAAATCTATTGAATTACTTACCAATAGACAAGACCAATAATAATGCATATAATTAAGATTACAATAGTTATAATGAAGATAAAATAATTTTGATTAGAAAAATCTTCAATGAAATAAAATGATGTTAATTTTGTTGTTGTAATTTTCATATCTTACTGAATTTACTCAATGTTTGAATTTCTTGACATTCTTCCATGCCATCTGGATCAGTATAGATTTGTCGACATTTCATACATACACGATAGACAGAATTAGATAAACGATTCTCAATTGAAATAGTATTTTGATTTGCTTCGACAACTGTCCATGTCTAAATAAAAAATTTAAAAAAAAAATGATCGGTTTTCTTTTTATGTCAATTTCGATTTACTTGATTGATAGTTGAATTTAATTTTGGTATAATACTTTTTTCACAAAATGCTGATGGAAAAATAGATGCAAGTTTAATTTCAATTTCACTTGATGATATTGCTTTTAGAGTAAATTTAGGTGTTATTTGAAACACTAAATGAATATATGATTTTAAATTAATTATAGAATCGTTTTATATGCTTGTCTGCATTTGATATTTTATCAAAGAAAAGAGAAAATGGTAACGATTGATTAGAAATCAATAATTTACTGAATTTGAGACCCATTTTTAGGTATTTACTGGGAAATCAAATAACAGAATTCTTATTTGAATTTCCACGTAAACTCAACTTTTATGACACGTCTGTAGTAAGCGACTACGTTTTTGGAAATTCAAAGTTCAGGTCGAATATTCAATGAAATAGTCATGACTTGACTTCAGAAGATCATCACCACGAACGCTTTTGGAATTTTTCTAGTTTTACCAAGGCATCCTTGTGGGTTCAGTATGAGTTCAAATGACAGATTAAAGATAAGGTAGTTTTCTTATTAGTATAAAATGATTCTTTTTCCACTTGCTTCGAGTACAAAAAATGGTTTAGTTTTGAAGATGTTTTTATACTATATTAGAAGCTCTGCTTTAATGATCTTGAAAAAACAGTTCGCAGTATTATATTTAATTAGAAGATATTCGTAATGTTATTCACAGAAAATATGTTTCTCGCACTCTTTTAAAGTTTTTTTTTCTTGAAAAAGAGGCCTATTATCATCTAAACTTTATTTAAATTGAAACATTCTACTCTGATCGATTGATTCTATCTTCCTTAAGAACTGAAAATAGTTAATGAAAAGTACAATAAGTACCTCTAACCTACAGTTAAATAACCTCAATTAATAAATAAATTATGAGCACTTATTTTCAATGATTAAAAAAACTTTTATTCTAGTTGCTGACTGTTGATTCTCAATAGTTTTATTTTAGACAGTCAATAATCAACGAAATTTTTCCAATGGATATTATTTGATGGAACTTTGTTACTCAATAAAATCAATCAAAACTTTCAAAATTATCTCTATTGTAGATATTTAATAGCGAACAGTATTTATTTTTTTTCTTGTTATTGTACGAAGTATTCGATGTAAACAAATCTATCAATACATTATTATTTATCATAAAAGATACCGTTTTTTTATATATGACTTACCCGGTGTCATATCGAAATAATAAGATGATACATCAAAATGAGGTAAGATTGCTTTTATATGCATTCGAACTCTATTTGGAAATACTCCATCTGCAGTTGGTCTCCATTTAAATGTTAAATATTCATTTGTACTTTCATTTTTTAAAAACTCAACACGTGATATATAAGCTAAATTATCAGAACTAGAAAATAGAAAAAACAAAACTAAAATATTTTGATATTTTAAGGGCTATAACTTACGAATGATTAATTTCATTAAATTCAAACTGAGCTGGATAGTCATTTTGAATAGCACGTGCTATAATTGGTGCTCGAATTCGGCATTTAATATATTGTTTATCATAGACTCGGCATCGCTCGATAAGTTGAAGTACACCTGGCGCAGCTGAAAAAGACATTTTCTTTTGTTTTATTTCAATCGTGTATATATTTATATCAGAGAAAGAACAGAAAAAGAAAAGATATTTGATATATATAAATATAGAGTCATGTAAATGATATCAGTATAAAAACAATGTTGTTTCTTTACCTCTGACAATAACATCACTACGAGTGCCTTTCGATTTTTCGCCATTAATATAACATAATAAATGGAAAATTCCGACATAATTTTTTGCTTCGAGCTGAATATTAATTGCAGTTTTATTTAATATATTAGTAGTTATTTTAATTTCCGTAGATGGAATTATTTTTGATAAATTTACTTCCAGTGGTTTATCATTTGATTCATGTTTTATACATGTAAAATTGATGGTACTTGTTGAATTTATAACAACTAAATTAGGTGCTAAGAAAAAAAAGAAGAAATATATGCAAGGTTAATATGAAAAAAAATTTATACTTATTTCAATATTCCATGGATGAAATTTCGCTGTTGATATTTGAGTATAACAAAAGTTTATTGAAGTGAATAAGAGAAAAACAGACATTAAACAACGTGGTCTCTGTTGAGTGTGTAACATTCTTTATGTTATGAAAAATAAACACAAAATCGTCCGTTGCGTGGTACTCCTCACCTATTTCTTCGTGACTGAAAAGAAAAAAAACTGAATATGTTTATTACTTCAAAAGAAAACATTCGGCTTTGAAATAAATGGAACAAAGGTATTTTGTATATAGAGAGAAAGGATCTTGTATGCAAAGAAACATAAAATATTCAAATGGATCAAAGAAATATCAAAAGATAATATTAATATGTAAGATAATAGAATTGAATATATTACTCATATTTGTTTATTTTCAATCAATAAAATACCTGAAAAGATTGACGTATATAGAGGCAAAAGCATGTTTGTCGCTAAAAATGTAACTATACATGTTACGTTGCTTGGCATAGTTTTCGAATATTCGAAGAAATGGAAAGAAAAAAAAAAGCAATACAAATAATTTGTTGCTTTTTGCTTGAATAAAGAAAAACGACATGATCAAAAGCATTTTTTTATGCTGAAGCATGCATGACTCAAATGAGTCAGGTTAATTTCAAGGTAAAAAAATAAAGTAGTTTAAATTTCTAAATACAATTAATAATTAGACCAACATATTTAGTGTATATGTAACAAAATTTTCTTATGAGTAACTAAAAATTTTATTTAAGCTATTTTACAACGTTGATGTATTAAATTAATCTAGAACTATGATCATACAGATTATTTACCATCTTCAGCTGTTTTTTTTCTATACTATGAAAATATCTAATCCTTAATTGTGGTAGTTTTGGTCATAATTGCTTTCGAAAAAATATTGGATTTATGTAAGCCTTACAAAATGCAAAGCGTAAAATAATAAATATAAGCAAGTACAAAAATTACCAATGAATCAGAATAAGAAAATAAAAACAAATCAAAATAATAGTATTCGCATTGAACTTGATTTTGAAAAATGAAATTTACTTTAAATTTTCCGTACATTATATTTACTAACATTATGAATCACTTAGTCAAGCAGCATGCATGTTCACTTCAGTAGAAAAGAAAACATTTTTAAAAAAAAGTCTTAATTCTACTGTTCTACGTCTCATCGGCTTTTGCGCTGCTTCTTTCAGACACGAGTATATCTGTCATGTTCGTCAGCTAACAAAATGATTTACGCAGTACTTATCTTTTACGAGAGAATTTTCTAACGTAGAATAACAAACATGTGAACGTTTGCTACAATTTTTAAAATTCATCTCTCTAGATGAAAAGAAACTGAGCATATAATCATGATGAATTAATTGCTCAATTTTCTATATAACATCGAGAGGTGTAAACTCAACGGGAGGGCCGTTTTTTTGGCTCAAAGTTTCGGAGAATTTATTCAAGGATGTGTTTTTTCTTTCTTTTTATTTTCAAGGCCGCTTCACATAGAGAAGAGAAAAATACGCTTGAAATATGATCTTAGATGTCGTAAATGAAAAAAATCCTCTGAATTTTTAAAATCCTAGCAGCAGCTAAAATTTTCAACAATTATCCACAATAGTAGTGGTAGCAACGACCTAATCGATTGACCTAGCTTTTTATGTATAAATCACTCAATGTGCATCGTTGTTTAAATAAACCTACGACATTGAAAAAAGGTTTTTTTTTCTACGCATAATAAAGAAAAGAGAAAAAAGAAAAGCTTCAGGGTTTTTTAATTTCAGAGAACAATATAAACAACAAAAACAAAAAATTTATGTCTACATGAAAAATTACAACACATCACACATAATATAATTAAAAAATTACTATATAATAAATGAAAATTATTATTTTAAATTCTTGAATAAAATAAAGATGGATAATGATATTATATATTCATTTATTTTGATTTTACCATTGATTTATGATTGTCATATCTTTTGCTAGATTGCGATGAGGTAAATCAATTATTTGTTTTTTAGAGTTTCTCTTTTTTCTCGCACAACTTTTCCATTTTTCATCGGATGAAAAAAGTTTTGCTAACAACTATGTAGAGAAAACAATTCTCTATTAAGCATTATGTTTAGTTTTTTAAAATGCCCTTCAGAGACGAATCTACATCGGTTTTTCAGTGGCCTACCTCAATGATAATTGATTTACTCCATATGAGATAAATCAATTATTGTACTGATATCAATGGGGAAAATCAATTATTGCAGCTATTTTAGCTGAAAACTCTAATGTGCAATTCATAAAAGATCTTCAAAATATTTCGAGGCGATCCCGATAATAAATATGTTCAGTATACCAAAATTTATCGCTTGAAAGCATTTCGAATTTTTCGCAAATGTGAAACTCACGCTTTGAAGCTTATCAATCGGTAAAAAATAAAAGACATTAGCTTCACTTTCAAATACTTTATTGATTTGCATGTATGTAAGTTTTAAAGATGATTGAAAGTAATATTAAAGCCCAGTATTACAAACTAACAGATAAGTATCATATGTCAACTGTTTTCTCTTCTGTTAAGTATCTAGCAACACTGTTCTTCTTCTTGAAAAGAAGTATCACGTATAAAGCATTTATTTAAATGGCACCACCAGTCCATTTTTCTTTCTTCCTGTCTGTAAATAGCATTTCTAGCAGCCTAATCAACTATCACGTTGATATTTTTTTCTTTCAATTGTATAGCTATAATCTAGATAACGTATACAACAATAGGAAAATATTTTAAAACTGCATTAAGATACAAAACTGACAACAATAAGAATTTACATTAGACGGACCCCAAGTAGTATTATTAAAAGATTTAAATAAAAGAGTATCTCGGTCATCGTTTATTTTTCTCTGAGACAATAATATAGTTTTCTAATAAAGTAATTGATTTCTTATAAACAATAAAAACCTTACCGAACATGGTCTTGTCAGTTGTTGCTGTCTGATGGAATTACAATTTCTATTTATTTTTAATCAATGAAAAGCTTATATTAGTAATTAAGAAATAAGTCTTTAAAATACTTACAATAAGGCGATAACAATGACTAAGAAGTAAAGTATAATTATTATAAAAATTTAACGTTATTCATAGACAAACTGAAACAAATTTTTACAAAAAAAAATATTAAAAAAATTAAGAAGAAAAGTATCTGTCGCTTATTTGGAATTATTTATATAAGATATACGATTAGTTTGGATCTGTTTCTATTGACATTCTATATAGACATAAAATAATCTATTTTTTACAACTTTAGATATGACAATGTCGAAGAGAACAAACGATTCGTTTGTGTATAATACTTTAACGTTTTCCTCAATTTATTATCAAATAACTAGTTCAATCGATTACCCCGAAAAGAGACAGATGACTCTTTTCAATGGAATCTATGTCGTTTATTTCCCTAACAAGGTAATGAAACTGTTACACCACAATATAAACTAAATCTTTTTTGTAGACCTTCTGTAGTCTAAAATAAAATTAAAATATAATTTCACGAACCAAATGATTATCTATCAACAATAGAAATGCCTATCATGGCATTCAAACAAATTTGAGAACAAATTATAAATTTAGTTAGTGAATCATTTGCTATCTCCTTTCAGATTTCAATGATTTTTTTCCTGTAGATACTAAATAGTGTTCTAATAAAACTCTAAAAGGATTTGGGTTCATGTTGAGATTTGACCAAGCTGTCGAATTTTTAACATATTTAGTTTTTAGAGGTCGTTGTAGGACCCGACTGACAAGGCTTACGTCAATAAGACTTTCGCCAATAGAACATTCGCCAATGGCGAAAGTACAGTGGTATTTCACGAATTGGCAAAAGTTCAGGGATGTGTTGGTGAAATTTCGAAACTTCTAAAATCCTGATTTTTCAAATTTTGATCTGAAATCTTGCACATATAGAGAACTTAACGAGACTAGCTTACATCACAAATTTCAAAAGTTTTAAACGAAGTCTTTTCGATATATGAAGCTTTTAAAAAATGAATCTTTTACATACTAACCAAGAAACAGTGTCTATATGTTGAAAAGTCTCATATATCGAAGAGACTTCGTTTAAAAGTTCTGAATCTGTTATGTGAGTCAGTCTAGTTGAGTGCTCTATATGCGCAAAGTTTCAGATCAAAATTCAAAAATATGAGTTTTCGGAAATCTTGGAGTGCCTCTTGAAAATAGACATATTAAAAACGCTATAGCCTAGTCAAATTTCAATAGGTATCCAAATTCTTTTACGATTTTTATTAGAACACTATGTAATACTTCTAGTTAAAAAAAATCATCGAAATCAGAAGGAGACATCTGAGAAGAGATTCCCTTGTAAGTCCTATAAACAATATCGTCACAACAATAGTCAACGCTTAATTGCTTGATATATATTAGCAGTCCATTTTCTTTTCCGGTTAAGTTTGCACAGAACCTAGTCAAAAAAAGTTGTAAATTATTAGTCTAAACTTTTGCTGATGCATTATCGAAAACAAACTTTGACATTTTATGAAGTCGTTCAATAATTGAAAATAAGTGATACAATGCGTATTGTTTTTTCAAATTAGTAAATCTCTCAAGATTCCGTAGCTGTTTTATATTCTTCATTTCTGTAACGTCTTTTATGCACAATATTTTAAAGTTCAATATCTACTACATTCAACATCGCTAATTGTAGCGAATGGTGCATGACGAATAGCAAAAGTCAATGAAACAACAACAAAAAACAGAATGTTCATAATGAAATTTGGCCAGGAGTTCGTGACGAACTCTGACAGCCCATTGTTAGTGGTTGAACAGCGAAATTTTGTTTGGAGATCGGAATGAGAAAGTTCAGAAGTTCGTAATGACAAAAACCAGGTGGTCTTAATGAAAACTAAAGGGTGTTCGGAATGAAAACGGCAGGATGCTCGTAACTATATTGAGATTTACTCACCTTTGAGAGATTGTGAAGTGACACGCTTGCATGGGGAAAAAAGCGAATTTCGTCTATCCCGGATACGATTAGGGGTGGCACTTTATCTTTATTTTACTTTGAAAAAGTAAAGTAAAGCAAAGTATTTAACTTTACTTTTTCAAAGTACAAAAATACTTTACTTTACCGAATAAAGTAAAGTTCAACACTTTACTTTACCGGGTAAAGTAAAGTTGAGTAACTGTAATTTACTCGGTAAAGTAAAAATAAAGTGCCATCCCTAGATACAATGGGGATCCAAAGGATACGGAGGATCCAAATGATACGACGGAAATCCAGAGGATACGGCGGAGATACAGAGGATATCTGTGAGACACATAAGATAATATTCGATGCAGTCAACAAAATACACATTATGTAGGATAAATCAAGGAGGAAAAGCTGAGTTTTTTAGATTCACTCAGTTTTATATCAAATATTTTAAAAAACTCAAAAAATCTCAAAACACTAAATTTCCAATCAAAGGAGATGTGTCAGAGTATGAATTTAGTGTCGCAAAAAATCTGAACCTAATTTTATTATCCTGAGAGTCAACATTCATCCCTGATCATTTTTCACATGTTTATTTTATACTTCATAATCACTCATTTTTTAATAGCTGGGTAGGGGTGGCACTTTATCTTTACTTTACCAAGTAAAGTCAAGTAAACTAACTTTACTTTATCGGATAAAGTAAAGTATCTCAACTTTGCTTTACCCAGTAAAGTAAAGCTAAACCATGTCAGATTTTTTATGCACATAAGGAAAATGTTGTTTTCTAACTTTAATTTACTTTGCTTTACTTTTTTAAAGTAAAATAAAGATTAAGTGCTACCCTTATACTTGGAGTTCCCTTCAGGCATCGAAAAAAATGAACTTCACCAAAACAACAATTTACAAATGTAGACACCTCTGATTTTGCCCTCACATGGATTTATAAAAGTTCGGAATTGTGTTTTCGTATAAAAAACGGATTTTCTGTGAAGTTCATTTTTTTCAAAATCCCTGAGGGGGAGCTAAGCTAAAAAATTTACACGAAAAAATAAGTCTTAGAAACAATTTGAAACACACGTAGGTCAACTCAGTTTTTTGTGCTAATTTTAAGTATGGCTTTTTTTCAAGTCAAACCTAGTATCTTCTATTCGAAAGTCATCGTATACTGTCCAAAAGAGTTCTCAAGTATAGTAAATATAGCACAGGTGGCTTACTAGATATTGAATTAGAAGTTGAAAATATCATTATCAGAAAGAGCAAGTTGAATTACATATTCGATATACAAATTTTGCTGGTACATCCGTATAAAGTGAAAGTGCATAAAACCGAAATAATCATTATCCGTAGCAATATGATCCGATCGGGGTGGTATTCGGCGATTATCGCTTCGAAAAAATTCGAATGATCTATTCCTTCATGTAAATTCTGATAGAGGAAAAACCTCTGCGTCGAATGAGCCTATTTTTCTGGATAAGATTTAAATATTGATGGACTTTGAGATCAAAAACTTGTTTGTAGGGCTTTCAGAAAGTGATTCAGATGTTCATTATTGTCCGAGAAACTTTAAAAAAATGCAATATTTTTAATCAGCACATTGAACTCTATCAAACGAGAAGTGCTTTCACTAAAACCAAGACAAGAAATGTTTTTCGATTCCTGAGGGGGACCTCAGGTATTAAAAAATGAGTGATTATGAAATATAAAATAAACACGTGAAAAATGATCAGGAATGAATGCTGATTCTCAGGATAATAAAATTAAGTCGGAATTTTTTGCGACACTAAATCCACAATCTGGGACATCTCTGTTTTCAAAACTCTAAATCACTCAAAAAACTCAGTTTCCAGCTTTTCTCGTTTGGGAAAAAAGCGGATCCCGGAATCCTCTGTATTCTCAATATATCGCCTTTAACCTCTGTATCCATAATGTGTCCTCACCGAATTCCGGATACGAAGATTCCTCATGGATCCCCGTATCCGAGATACGGCCAAGATTCGAAGGATACAACAGGGATACGGGAATAGAATGGGGATCCAGAAGATACCGGAATCCGATTTTTCCCCCTTGCACGCTTGTCTTTATGATCTCCCAGTAAATTCTGTTAGGAACTTTCTACCAATGTCATTCCATTCTACCGGTCTTTTTCTGTAAAAATACCGTTAGGCATACACTCCGAACACCCGATCAAACCATTCCGATTACCCTGCTTTTCTATTACGATCTCTTCTAGAAAAATGTTTACGAACTCCGGTCATAAATCTTTAAGGACCAAAATTCATTTCCGAACACCTCGAACACATGTCCGGAGTTCGGAATGACTTGAGACGAAAAGTACGTCACCCGTTTGATTAGCATCATCAAATGTTCTAATATTTTCTCTCTGGTAGCAAAAAAAAGAACAAAATCGCAATAATGATTTTCAAAAGATAAACTTTGCTTTACTTGACTTGAACTGTAATTTGTTTCATCTATTGTTAAATTTCCTTGACAAGATGTTAATGATGAAGTTTTCCTCGATTAATTTCAATTCATATATCAGTAGACGATACTATTTGAACAATAAAATTTGATGATATTCGAAAAACTATTTTCCAAAGAAAAGTAAAATGCTTATCGACTACTTCTTTATTTCAAAATAAAACAATTACCGGGTGCCATATTCATTCTATGATTAGTTGTATCAAAATGAATTATTGCTTCACATATAATAAAACACAAAAAGAAATAAAGACTTTCAAAGAGAGAAACTCTATTAACTATAAACGACGTTCAATAAAAAGAAAAGTATAATCTAATCGATTATTAATTGCTTATGTCATAATTAGTGTTCTAATTGTACAATCAATATATTCATCATAATATACAACGCAACGATTTTCATGCATAAGCAAACCAAGTGATTCTTAAAGATATGAAATAATCAAGAGAAATAAAATCCTATTGAAATTTATTTTTGCTACGAATTATAAGATATGAACGAGTACTAATATCTATTTTTTCTTTTGGTGAACAAACAAGATGAATTACACCTACATAATAAACTGATTGCATAATTATTTCAATAGCTGTATTATTAAGTTTACTAGTAGGAATTTGTATATATTCTGAATAAATATAAGATGATAAATTAATATCAAAACCACGATAATCATCCATTTCTATTGTACATATAAACTTGATTGTGTTAGTTGAATTTAATATTAAAAATCTAGGTTCTATTACACAAAAATGAAAGGAATAATTCATGTGTTATCAAAACGATTGTTTCATCGTAGTTATGTAAATATTTGTAAATATTACAAACACTCGGTTCAGATCGTATAAATATTAACAATAAAAATAATGATCAAACTGAACATTTGTATAGAATAAAAGGAATATATAATTTTTTTTCTTTTATTAATTTAACGTGTCACATAAACACATTTCATAAAGAAAAAGAATCCAAGATTGAAAAATGTTCTCCAATCCATTGAGTATTGACACAAAAAGAAAAATGAGTGAAGGTATCTGGAAAAAAGAAATATTTGTTTTTCTTCTCTCATATTGAATTTTGTTACTAAGAAACATTGAATTACTCTATTAAATTGCACGATAAGAAGAATTGAAAACAAATAACACAATACAAACATCATATTCTTATTCATCAAAAGTTTCTGTACAATAGAAAACATTATGAATGAAAGACAAACAGTTAATGTTGAAAGGAAGGAGGGAATCGTTAAGCAATGAAATCGATCCCTCTCAAAACTGAGTTTATTATTTCTCCAACAGTCAATTCAGATGTCACGAGTCGATTGCTGTTCGATTTACATCAGCAGACTTCATTCTGGCTGTGCACAGCTGCCTCAAACTCGATATTATCAATCTTTTAAAGTGTTCGGCTCTGCAGTATTTACATGAAAAGTTTGTCTATCTTCTCCAGCTCCTTTAATCTGACTTCTTTATCAAATGAAAGCTGTTTCTTTCCTTTATCGAATGCCATACTTTAGTATCCTACATAGGTACAATTTTTTTTTTACATCAGATCCGATCTGACTATCTTATAATGGAACCGAAGCTAATCGACATCCGGCAAATATTTTCACAGTCATAGCATAGTTGTCAAACTTTTACTTTATATGAAAAAGTATGCTGTTTAGTTTCTTCCATAAACAGCAACAAAACAAAAGAGCTCATCTCAAAGTTCAAAAAAGACAAGTAAATCAAGTGACTGCAAATCCACTTGATGTCTTTCTGCTTCTAAAATCAGATAGATTTCTCTAAATATATGTTTGCTTGCTGCTGATGAAGCTAGAATTAAACGTAGTTTTGGTGCCAAATGTCATACTTGTGTATACGTACACAAATACTTTTTCCATCGCGATGAAACATATTCATCTTTTCGATAATTCATTTTCCTCTCCATATATTCAGTTATTTCGTCATATGGTTCCTCATCATCTGTAGACAAGTTTTCACTAAAAACGAGATCCTTTAGTAAGGCTATATCTGTTCTCAAGTAGTATAAATTGCTTGGTCATGATCGAATTACTTACTCTTCATTCAGATATTCTATGTATATAGCACTGAAAAAGTAAAAATATTTTGAAACGTCGAGATCTCCTTAAGTATCGGGTCAACTGCTAGTTACGATCTCAAATATCGGGGGTATGTATGTTTTTCGTCGAAAATTACAACGCCGAAATAAAGATCGTCGAATCAAGGTTTATCGAAAAACTTATTTATTAGAAATCCGGGTGTTTCAATTCATGATCTCTATTTCAATGATATTCATTTCAGCGATTTTCTTTTTCGCTAATATTCGTTTCGCGATGACACTTACATTCAATACATTTGTATCATTTTGTAGAGTTTTGAAAAGCCTATCAAGAAATATATAATTCAATATGGGCTGCTGATTTCACAGCTCAATAGTGCAAGGGGTAAAAAGTAAACTTCTGTACTTCTTCGTACTTCACAAATACAGAAGTATGCTTTTTACCCCTTGCATGCACGTGAATCGGCAACATATTCAGGTGTATTACTGTAAGTTTAGTCTGAATAATCACAATCGTAATTACTTTGTCTTACACATACAACCAATCAGATGTTTTCGATACCTAGGTTTACTCCATTCATGTTTTTCAAGCTCCAGTTTCAGCAAAGCAGGCTTTTTTAGGCTAAGAGTTTATCGAATTGATTTTTTTCGTTGCTCTGGTTTCATTCGATCAGATTTCCTCTAGATAGCGATTCATCCAATCTTTTAGTTTTTCTTTTTTGACTTTTACTAATCAGCTCTTATGGTTATGCAGAGTCGACCTATTAGAAGTACATTTTTTTTTATCATAGTAGAAAGTGGATGATTTTTTTTCAAATCGATTCTGCTAAAAGATATCTCACGAGTAACAACGAATTGTAGAAATGAAATCTGATATTGGGAGTATATGGCACAAGAAGGAGGTTTTCATGTCTTTTTATGATAGAAATCAAGGATTGAAGTTTAAAAGGAGTCATAATGAGGATGTGTGATCATGTGAAATAGACTGATGAAGCAACCAATGTATGAGTAGAGCTCCTTGACTCGAACACTTAAATTCAACTACAGTGCAGCTAATATGTATGATTTCAAAGGAATGAGTTTTGCGTGAGGCAGAGCTCATTAGACAAAATTCCTGTGATCCTTATCACCAGAATTATTGTGGTTACATCATTAAGAGAAACTCTAAGCGTTGTGAATGATAGCGAAAATAGGCACATTAAATGCATACCATTAGAGATTTTCATGTATGTAGTCTTGAAGAAGATTGAACAGGATGTAAAAAATGATCCTGTATAAGAATCGAATGATGCAAAGTTGAAAAATAAAATAGGAAATAGAGACTTCTAGAACCTTATTATTGTGAATAATGTGTGTAGCTCAAGTCTTTTGGATCTTATAAATAGATTTTCAGAGGTATTGAAAGTATTCCATTTGAATAGAATTCAGTCTATAAATCAAAATACGGTATTTCGTCACTAATTTAATGATGATTTATCGTTGGAGAAGGATATTCAATAAACAAGTGGAATTATAGTATGTATTATTTGTATTTTCAAATTATTGTACAGAAGAAAAACTGCTCTGCATTTGAAAATTTTTTCTGCTCACGAGGGAACTACCCGAGGTGCTAGCAAGCTTTTGAGCTGAAATTTTGTCCACAAGTAGGGAATGCATAGACTAGAAAACGTCTAAGAGGATATGTGCCCAAGTTGAGATTTGGCTGAGATATCGGCTTTTTACTATAGTTTTTCTATGGGACCCCATTTTTTCCATTAAGTCAAAGTTTCGAATTTTGACGTGAAANTCTGCTGTCTCTAACTTTTTATGTACTTCATTATTTTCATTTTTATATTATTGAGCTCTGCAAAATTCAAAATACAAATCAAATTATATTATTATTTATTTCTTACTTTATTTCTTCTCTAATGAACTTTTCATTTACATCAGTTAGTGCATGATTCAATCGAACAACTTCTCGAGCAAGCTAAGTTTTAAAAAAAAAGATGAAAAGAAAACAACTAATAATATACTAATTAGATTTTGTTTACTATTACTTACTTCACCTTTCTCTCGTAAATGTCTAACCACTTCTTCATTAGCTTCGCTTAATTTATTATTGATAATGACTACTTCTTGACTAAAATAAACAGAAAAAAACAAATAACTAATTTTATGTTTTAAAAGAAATTCACCTTCCTTCGACTGTTCTTTCCAAATCAGTATTAGCTAAACGTAAATGATAAACATCTTTTTCAAGTTTAATACATTGAACTTGTAGAATAGTATTATTTTCCAAAATGCGATTATCTATTTAAAAAGAAGTCAGAAAAAAAGAATTTTGACTATAGAAAAAAAAGCATACAATGTTCTATAATGTTCTCATATGCTTTTGATTGACAATTATGTTCTTTTAGTTGACAAAAGATTTTTGATTTCCAGTTTGATTCAATCGTAACCATTATTTGATCGAAGAAGGAAAAAACCAAATCGATCGTTTTCTATTCACGCATGAATAAATAATAAAAGGGAACAAAATGCCATAGCAAGATAAGTACCAAACTGCGTCACACGCCATAGATAGATTAAAACAGACAGAAAAAAAGCAAATGCATATTTTGTTTTGACAACATTTCCACACATCGTAATCGACTTCGACAGAGGTCGTCATATTTTTAAGAAATATCTACAATGTATTGATTATTGAGAAGAAATGAAATAAGTCATTCTTGCTATAGTAGATACCCGATCTTCTATTATAGCTCATCTGTTTTCATAATTTTTAACTGAAAGGTTAAAAAAAATCGAAACGTTTTTAAGAATTTAGGAAGACATTTTTATGGTTGTAAAAGTCAAGAAATAATGTTGATCTAAGATTTTACGGTTATTCAGCTCAGGGTCGTAATAACAGGCCTATTTTTAATCAAATATACTTACTAATGTTGCAATTTTACGAGAAATGAATTAATTAAGGGGCGTTTTTCTATTACGTAGAACGCATGGTTTATCCAAGTGAGATCTTCTAATATGGAGGATTTTCGATTGCATCGAGCGGTTTGATTTGCATACAAAAATAATATTTCATGATTCTCTGTTATATATTGGAAGATTTGATAGTATTTTTTTGAATTGAGAACAATGATTTAATGATCAACATAAACATCTGAAACAAATGAAATTTTATAAAACGAAGTAAATTTTGTTTAAAAGAGCATTTTGATATTTTTTTCTTGATAGTAATAGAAACTTAACAAGAAGATATCGATTTCTCTTCACGTTCATTAAATGTTCCTAAAAGAATATAATGCATTGAATTTTTTTATCTAATGTTTCCCGAGGTTTGTGTTTTCATACTTGATTATAATTTTCGATATTCATTTAAAAGCCAGATATGACAGAAATGATTGCAAACTCATTTTTCATATCTTTAGCTTTAGTTAGAATGAGTCATGAAGTTCAGAAGATCTGATAAACCAAACTAATAAAAAAACATAAAGCTCTTAATAGTACTTCATTGCTTCAGAAGTCGATGAATTAGTACAATATATCTTATTGACTCATATAATCATTCACTCTTGATATTATAATCTATTATTAACAAAAAAAAATGTTTTACTGTTCATGAATACTTTCAAGATCAAAACGATAACTTTGCATCAACTTTGAATGTTTCTTTCTTTTTCCTTTCCCCTTTTTTTCGGGATAGGATGAACATATTTATGTATTCATGATAACACAAAAATTATCCAAGATAACAATAAGTTCTAGGGAGATAAGACAAGGCCATCTCTTTGCATTGTGGCTTGTGGTTTTTTCTTGCCACCGACGTTGTCTTCTTCAACATTAGAGAAAGCAAACCGAAGAGTCTGGTGAGTATACAGTGAAAAACGTTGACTGAGGAAGAGATTTGTCGAAATTTTGCGAAACAGGTCGATCAACGGTTTTCTCAGATACCACAGAAGTAGACCAACATTGAATTCGAGTGGCTCTTATTTCGTATAGTTAGTATTCACTGATGCTGTGACAATACCATGCAGAACCAAACGAAAACTGCGTGGTGGACCGAAAAAGTTCTCATGGCCACTGGCAACCAGAAAGCAACATATTATGTATGGATTCATCGACAAACAGAGGAAAATTGGCAGCAAAATAAGCAATTATGGAACAAACACGAATAAATTTGTGATTGAAGCAAAAGCAACCTCTTGATACAATGTCGGACACCATCTAAAATCCAACTATCATTCGGCTAGCAAAATGTTTTGGCAGACCATTCACTGACTCCATAAAGGTGGACGTACACCTACTCTCTCTATAAAATATGCATTTGATTGATGCTTGACACGTGAAAAAGACATAGTCAATGGATGGAAGGAATATTTTGTGAAACTCTACAATTCGTGATCCGATTCGCAAGATATATTCAGTGAATCAGCATTGTATGGAGCAGATAATATCTCTTTAACAGCTACTAAATTACTCAGATTCGATAAAGCTGCTGGAATGAACGAAATAAGATCGAAAATGCTAAGATCGTTCAGTTCTGATGGCACAGATTGTTTTCAAACGAGGAGACCAAAGGTAATGTTCTAATTACAGAAGAATTACTCGACTTAATTCAGCTAAATAATTATACTCCAGAATGATAGAACGAAGATGCTTGGAGGTAGTCGAATCACATATTCAAGATACGCAATGTGAATTTCGTGCGAAACGAAAGGCGACGAATCAAAGTTTCACATTACAGCAAGCATTTGAAAAAACCTGGGAGTTCGCTAAATCTGTTTAAAATATTACTCATGGACACAGAGAAGGTGGAAGATCGAATTCTACAGAACTCACTTTGAAAAGTGTTAAGAGAATATGGAATTAATAGTCGTCTATTTTCTGCACAAGCTTTGTTTGTATAAATGTCAACAAGAAGTTTATTTAGTTCCGAATATACATTGGACTACGATAAGAATGCATATTCTTGCCGCTATTATTTATAATTTTAAGGGACGAAATATTTCGAAATAGTATCGACCTGTTTTATATCGAAACTGATGATGTCAAAGTAGATCTTCTTCTTTTTGTGGATGACGTTCTTCATCTGGCATCAACGACCGGTGGACTTCCAAAGGCTCTAAATTGGTTTCCAAAGGACGATTCCTCTTCTGTCATGAAGATCAATGCGAAAAAAATGAAGTAATGATTCTTTAAGACAATCCGAACAACACACTCTTCGTGTAAAAGACGCTCCGTTGAATCAGCTTTAGAAGTTCAAGTATCTACGAGTGCGTTTTCGTTATTGATGGAGAGCAAGACTGCGAAATTTTTCGAACTATTGCTGTAACAAGCGGTGTTTTAAGTTCATTCTATCATACGGGTATCACAAAGGCAGAATTAAGCCAGAAGACAAAGCTCGTAATTTTCAAATCGGTATGTCGATCTAACTGCATCTATGATCACGAGCAAAAGGTAATGACTGAGAAAACTGAATGTTGAATATAAGTAGCTGGTCAGATACTCAAAGTCAAAGTTTGCAGTACCGCTGTACGAGAATCTCTGAAAATTGAGTCTTTACTTCTTCACATCGAAGAGATTATGGCTACTATGGCTGGGACATGTTTTGAGAATGTCACCTGAAAGACTTCTTCTCTACTGAATAATTCAAGCCATGTCAATAGAAAAAAGACCATTAGAACGTACACCAACAATTAACGAAAAAACATCGAGAAGCTCTGCCAAAAACGTTTAGAGTTTGAATGAACCGAAGTATAATATGTGATGAAAGATCGAAAGTCACTAGTGAATAGGTTTAAATTGCGATTCAAAAAGACCAGGGGAAAGAAAATGAATGAATAAATGAATATTAAATTTGCATAAGTGAAACGTTCCAGAAAGTCAAATACCAGAAATGAAATTATACAGTTCGTTATCCAACGAGCAGCTATTGTTAATGAAGTAACTGCTGAACGCATACTTGATGAAAAGATTTGCGAATCAACTAAACACAAATATATAAAGAAAAATATATAATATGTTGCTGTATATGAAATAATTACTTGAGCAGACCCAATTGTTTTATTTAAATATGTCTATTCATGACTTCTCATTATTTCACTAATAATTACCATTGATAAAACCATAAATGTTGCACATCAAATTAGTATAATTCTACAATCAGATTTATTTACAAATAAAGTAGATATTTAAATATTTGTACAAAAATATCAACGATGAAACAAAAATGAAGTGATCTATCAAGTAATTGAGGATACTATTGAACAGATTGTTTACATTTGAGTTTCATTTCATTTTTCAAAAAGTTGTATTCGTGAAGTATATTCACTGAAGATGTTAATGATGAATGAATTTTAGTAAGAAGAATGAATAGTTCATTTTGAGATCCTTTTTATTTGACGAACGAGGTGAAAAAGTAAAAAGCAAAATTAATACGAATATCAATTGTTAATACTGACACAGTCTTTAGTGCTCTAACAAAATACTTCATGCGTCACTACTACTCAAAAAATGAACATATATACCTGATATATTAAAAATTATTTAATTCTGTTTTTTTTTAAATACTTTCAAATATCTAACTATAATTTATCCAAAAAAACTAATGATAATACCATTGGGTATTACCGATTCTTGAAAAGAAAAAAGTCAACTACAAATATGTTTTGTTGTAATTTTTTATTAATATAAAAGCATTGGCATTGATAATACACCTATCAAAACGTCTACTCATCGATTAAAAATGATTTACTTAATTCCATGTAACCTTGCCAATAACTAAACGAAATAATAGTGAAACAAACAATTAAATGCAACTGTTTGTAAAGTAGCATTGGTGACAAAAATAATAAAAAACTCAACAATTGAATATTTGCGTGAAAGATAATCATCGGATAAATTTGAAAGAAGTGTGCATACTCAAGAAACAATCAACAAACATAATATCATTAATAGAATTCAATACACAATTTGTTAATGTACCCAGATTAACATTTGCCATATCTTTAGACGACAAAAAGGAATCTGATCTTGTGAGTACATTCGATATAAAACCAATGTGATAGCCCAAAAGAAGACCATCAACGATTACAACACGACGTATGTTGCACAGAATTGAAAATTTTTACTCAACGACACTATAGTAGGTTTATCAGAATGGTAATATGAGCCATTTTCTCTTTGTTTCAATTGTTATTAGATAAGAAAGAGAATTTAGTTAATGATTAATTGTAGACGTGTAATATTAAGGCTTTTCTTTCTTATTAAAAATGTCAAAAAAAAGCATCATTCTTATAATAATCAATGATTCTCATATTCAATTTCAGATAGATTCTTTTCAGTAGATTTATTTAACTTCTTTTCTTTTCCAATGCATAGAAATTTCTACTTAATTAACTCTTCATTTTCATCATAACTTAAATTTTGATAAATGAGAAAACGATTGTCAATTGACATAATGAATTATCAATCTAAAGCAACAAAGATCATATCTACTTAACAACTATTATTTCTTCCTTATTGCATGTATGGTTCTCTTTATAAACAATGGCAACGAGCGACTCTCTTTTTTATATTTGATTATATTCTTTTCCGATTAGTTGAACTAAATTCAAATCAGATGTTGAGTTTGACTCATCAGTCATTAATGTCACTTCAATTCAATTTTTGTTTTCGTATTACATAATAGTTTTAATATTAATACAAAAGAATCATGAAACCATGCATTGTTATCGTTGGTCTTGATGAAATATTTCTCGATGAAATAGTTCAAGGTCTAACTGGTGAAAATAAAATCATTGATAATAATCTAATTGCATGGACGATTGATACAAAATATTATACAGCTGATGTTCATTTATGTCCAGTAAATACTAAAATACTTGTTGAAGAATCTGTTGCTAATTTAGCTCAAGTTCTTATATTACTTATTGATCCTTCACAAGTATGATATTTAATTATTTAATAGGAATAATAAATAAACCATTTTCTTTTTCAATATAGATCAATAGTCGTACAAAACTTGATAGTTGGTTACCATTTTTAAGTGTTCTTAATGAATGTGAAACAAAATTACTTGTTACTCGAAATATAGATGCTTTATCGAATAGTCAGTTTTTAAAAATAAAAATTTTTTTTTTCTTGATTAATATTTTTTTTTTATTGATTATTGTCTATAGCAATTTCAAGAATGGATGTAAAACAATGGTGTACAGAACATGAATATGAATTGCTTGAACTTGAAAAAACTACAGCATCAGAAACAGATGATGAAGACGATGAAAATAACCATCGTAAGTAGAACACAGAGAGAGAGATAAAAAAAAAAAAAAAAAAAAAGAAAAGAGCAAAAATTTATACAGAAAATATTATTTCATGGGATTTTTGTTTTTCTTCTTTTTTTTTTGTAATATTAGTCTATCGGGATGTTTATGGTATGCCACGTTTAATTCAAACACTTCATACTCATGAATGGCCAAATATGAATCTTAAAGGTAAAAGAAAAATTATTTAAATACGTTCTGTTATTGTTTTTATGTGATTATCATTTTTTTTAATTCGCATTTGATTTGATCTTTGCCGTCTTATTATTGGTTCATGTCGAAGTTTAGTTGATTCGGATTGTTGCTGACGTCTTCTTCTTTGTTGTTGTCGTTGTTTTCTTTGAATAGTCGGTTGTTTAACAGATTTTGATCGTTGTTCATTTACAACTGAAATATGATTTGATGGTGATTCTACAATAGTTATATCATCATCATCAATTATATTCCAAGTAACTGTTGGCATTTGCTGTTGAGTTGTTGTTTTTCGAACAGTATGTCCTAATTTTGATTGTTGTGAACGTTTGGTTTGTGTATCTCGACGTGTTGACATCAGTTGAACTGATCCACTTGATAATGTATTTGAACGATTTGAACCAAAAAGACCCATAAATTCATCAAGACGCCATTTTGATAAGAAATGTTGTGCTGCTGATGTAAAACGTGTATCAAAACCAGTTATAATTAATGGATCAAGCAATATATTTAATGATTTTGTTACTTGTACAGTATCTTTAAGAAGACGACTTTTAGTATAAAGTGTTATTATTTCAGCTGGTAACCAAAAAACAGCAAAATTAAGAAATAAAAATAAAATTTGAAGAATAAGATTTTTTCGAATATGTACATGACGTTTAAATGCTCGAGTAAAACGTCGTTGCATACGTATTAAATCGATACATATTGTCAAATAACAAGCAAATGAAATTGATAATGGAAGAAGAAATATATTGCCTTAAATGAAAAAAAGAAACTAAAATAATATGTATTTATTTATAGAAAGTTAAAAAATTCTTTTAATAGTACGACGTATCTTTGAGATGAAAAATTTTCTAATGCTTTTTATTTGTGAAGTTATTCTTTTCGGTGCGAGCTATTTCATCTGTGAATTATCAGTTTTAAATTATATGATTAATTCGGAAAAAAAAATTAATTTTGTAATATTTTCTATTGATCAAATCAAAACTATTTTCTATTCTTTTGTATTTCACTATATCTGTCAATATGAATTTCAATCCAAACGAATGAATTATCATCGTAGATGTAGAAATAAAACGGAAAAATCAAAGAAATCATGTTTTGTTTAATCTCTTCATGGTGATTTCTATTTTAATATTAAACCTTAGTTTTCACAAAAACGAATTCAATTGACAATATTAGAAAATCCTTTTCTCTTGTTTCATACCAAGTCTATAACACATATAAATTGCAACAACAGTTGATCCATATGTATAAGATATTTGACATTCATTTGTTGCTTCATGTTGTGTTATTTGTAAAATTTTTAAAGAAATTAATAAATATGCTGGTATAATTGATGTAATTATTGGCATAATCCAAAGTGCAATAATTAATAACATACTTCGTTTTGTTGATCGTGCTGCTTCATTATGTAAATTAACAAAATGACGACGACGATATATAGATATAGTTGTTAAACTATAAGCCATAAGAACAGTTAAATACAATGGAAGATAAACTTGTAGTTGACAATAAAAACGACCAGCTAATGAACTAAGTGCTAAATCACCTGTTAAATGTATGATTACATAAATAAGTTCATATAAAAGACCAAGAAAATCAACAAGTAAATAATTTGATGTCCATATAAGACTACGCATACGTTGTCGACGACGTTGAGTACGACTACGTGAACCACCGCCGGATATAGCTGTATTTGAACTAATACGTTGTACAGTTAATTCAATAAAAAGTATAAAAACAATAGCATAACATGGTAATGTTAAACTTAATATAAACAATTCTACAATACGCATAATACGATTAAATGGTGATTTAAAAAAAAAAAATTTTTTAAATAAAGGTGGTGATGTTGTTGTTGCTGTTCGACGTTGTAAAGGAAAAATTCTTGTTCCATTAAATAAACGAAGAAATTTATTTGTTGTTGTTGTAATTATTGTTGTTGTTGTTGTTGTTGTTATTGTTGTTATTGTACTATTAATTAATTCAGTTTCACTTGATTCTTGATTAGTTGATAATGTAAGATTTTTATCATGATAAAGATGAAATAAAAATGATGATAAATCAATATCCGATGTTATATTCATATCATTTCTAAATCAATTTTTAATAATATTTCTTTTTTTGTTTTTTCTTTTATATATTAGATCGACGAGAAATTAATCGAAATTTGGCTAAACAATTGAAAGCTAAATTAAATTTTGATGATAGTAATGATGTGGGTCGTTCTGAAACACAACACGAGCAGAACGAACAATTTGATTCTTCTTTGACGACCAATAACCACCATGGTAAATGTTGTCTGTTGTGTGTGTGTTCTCTCAACTCATCATCACTGCTAAATAGTAAAAGAAACAATAACAGCATACCTCAAAAATTTGTCTTTTATTTCGTGTTTGGTCTTCTTTTTTCATTTTGGGATGTAAAAGGAAATTTGAAATCGAAACATCGGGTGCTTTAGCTCTTCGTTTTTTTTTCTTTTCGTCTTTTTTTTACGATTGTTCTTTTCTTTCTTTCTCACTACCTTTTCTTTATTATGTTAGCAGGGCAGACTATCAAAAATTCTTAAAATAGTAACATTTGAACCTTGATATACGAGGAAGGACAGATAATTTACTGATATGAATAAATTGTTTTATTTTATTGTTATAGTTACTGATGCTTTTGGTATGGAAAATATATTTGAACAAATGCAAAAATATAAAGGTAAGTGAAATATTAACAAAGGAATAATTTATTAGATAAAAGAACATTTTTCGTTACTTTGAAAAAAGAAATAAAATCTTGATTATTAACTATGAATAAAATTTCTAAAATTTAAATGAAATTATTATTATTTAGAAGAAGCTGATCAATTAACGGGTGATGAACGAAAACGATTCGCAGAAAAGGTTAATAGATAAGAATGTATTAAATTTTTTATTAGCATATATCATTTTTTTCTTTATAGGTGATTTTATCACTTTGGAAAAATATAGGTGATGAAGAAGACGAAAGCGATGATGATGATGATAATGATAATAATGACGGTGATCAAAACCAAAAATAATAAATATAATTAGTCGTATTATCTTCGCTTTTTAGTCAGATTTTATAAAATAAAAAGAATTTTATTTCGATTTTATTCAAATAAATCAAAATTTCATGATTAAGAAAATAGATAAATTTAGATTATATGATTAATACAAAGAAAAACAAACCAGGAAACATATCCAACAGTCGGTCGTCGTTCAATTTCATATTATGACTACGAATAAATCTCGATGAAACTAAGACAAACTTTAGAAGATTCGGGCATATGAGTCGTTGATACAGAGTTATGGACGCTCTAATGAAATTTTGACTGAAAGCAAGGCTTTGCTGAAAAATCCAAAACAAAGAATTTCGACCTGAAACTTTACCTATAGGCATATCTAATAGCCGTTAGACTATCCTGAAAGTTTCAACGAAAACGAACATGTATTACTCAAGACATTCAATTTCACAGTAGACTTGATTATTGTGCCCTTCTATTTGAAACTGCTGCTTTTTCGAAAATTGAATATATCGAAAAAGACATGTTTGCTTCCACTGAAGTTTTCAGAACAATCTAATAGCTATCAAATGTGCCTGTAAGCAGAATTTCAGATCGAAACTTTGTTTTAAAGTTTCGGGAATCACTTGCTCTCAGTACAAGTTTCATTATAGCGTTCATAACTCTGTGTCAGTAGGATATAGATTCTAATCTTTTTTAATTTTGTCTTTGTCTCACCGAGACCTACTAGTACTTATAACGTGAAATCGAGTGCCGTCTAATAGGTGGGTATGTTCTCTCATAAGTGAAATATTACATTAAAAATATAATAAAACAAATTTCATAGACATTATTCAAATTCATGAAAGTTAAAGAATATATATAGAATAATGTCTCAAACAGCTACTTCGTGAATCAATTGAATACTTTAAATACTGCATAATCTTTGATTGATAGTAGTGTCTTTTTCAATAAAGTTACATTTCATTTTTGATGTCAATATTAACAGGTTACAACGCTTTCTGATTTTAATTAGAAAGTTTTCAAACTTGTTCTCGTCAGTATAGGAAGACAATGGGTTACAAACATACAAGGAACAAATATTATTGGTTCTATAAATAGTTGTTAAATGAAAAACTCAAAATTCTGCATTTCAAAATATCTTTGCAATTATTATTTAGACCAATATGTAATCGTAAGCATAAAACCATTGTTCAGACTTCATACAAGATTTTCATGTTAATTCTACAATGGTCCAGTATCTTGGACAAGTTAGAATGCATTCATTTTTATGCAAGTTAAAGCGAGAAAAGTAATGCTAATTCTCTTGTTTGTATATCCCCTTTACACGGAATCAAGTTTCAATGATTGCGAAATTGTTCATACATAAAATCATTAGACGAAGAAAAGATTCGACAGTTTTTGGCTGTAACGGAGTAACCAAGATTCATCTCATTGCATACTTCTGTCACAGTACATTCTCTTTCTTTTCTTTTTCTTTCTTCTGTTTCATGTCATATGGAATTTTCTCTTTTCTATTCTTCTTGTCATTTGGACCTCTCATTTTTTCTATCATCGTGCTTTTTAGACTTTCTCTATCTTGTTTATCATTATAGGCATTTTGATCGTGTTGACTCTTGTATAAAGAGTGTAATGTCGCAATCAATCACATTCAATCTTCAGTGTTAGTCATCTAAGAAGATTCTCATCCTTTTGTATTGACTGCCATCATTAATAGAGACGGTGCCAAAAGCACTTTTATAAGCTTGATGCTTTTATTACAGATGAACAATTTTCGTGGCATATATACATGTCTCCAATATATATAGCAATGAGCAAAAGTTATGAGAAACTGTATTTTTAAGCTCTTGTCTCAATGATACTAGCTAGAAAGAATCTGAAAAAAAAATATTTATGTAATTGTAAGAGTTTTCTATCAGAATTGGTTGACTCAAAAGCTTCAATAAATCTGCTTGGATGGAGGCTTGCAGAAAATCAAAATCTTCCAAACTAGTTTTCTGGCTTCCATTCGAAGCTTTTCGTAAAAAAATATATATTTGATAAAGCACAGAGTTTTTAGTAAAATAATATGTGTTCGACCTCTCCCATGGCCTTCCTTCATTAAATTACATTCAATTTATCGAAGGTTCAAGAAACATTTTTCTCTAGTTTTTTTTTGAAAATGTCAATGTTTTCACCACCATGTTGGACTTTTTGAAGCCTTCTGTAAATTGACTGTAGTTCAATAATGGAAGGCCGTCGAGAGACCAGAGATATCTCATATTGCTTACAATTATCTGCTCCATTAAATATGATTTTCCCCCCACACCTGCGAAACGAAGCCTGAAAGCTAGTTTTGCAAGTCTTTGTTTTCCACAGTCTCCCATCGAAGCAGTTTCGTTGGAACTTTCAAGCCTATCAGTCTTGATAGAGAATTCTTGCTTAGCTATTACTATTGAGAAAAAAACTTAAAAATACAACTGCTCTCAACTGATGCCGATCATTAGAGTCTACAATCTGTGTTAAGATGATGCTAAGTTGATTTATATGACCAATATTATGACCATTCATTCGTAGGAGAGGAAGGAGAAGAGACTAGAATAACCATTTAGTAGCGAGTCTAAGACAGCTGTTCTGAAGGAAATAATGACCTAGCGGAATAGACTTTCAAAATCCAAGAAAAACATGATGATATTATACGCAAATAGTCTTTTATAGTAAAGTTATCAATTCAATAGATGAATGTAAGAATGACTATAAGTACTTTTTTGTTTCGAAAATATTATTATTGAAATAAATATATGATCAATCTGTATTACATGTTCTTTCATCAAAAATAAAGGACTCTCATCTTTGAAATACACTCATATGCTGATATAAAATACACATTACAATATTACAACATAATATATGTTCTGTCTTTTGTTCTAACTACTCAATATATCATTTTCAAATGCTATTGCTCGATTAAATGCTTGATTCATTTCGTTCAAATCATTTCTGGTTCGTAATTCATGATTTATTGCTTGAGAAATTCTTTGCATTTGTAAATAAATGCATATCACATTTGAAAAAATTCTGACAGCATCAAAATATCCATGACGATGAGATAAATAATTCCATAATAAATTAATAAATGAATGCTGAATTTTATTTAGATCTAAACGACTTTTATGTGATAATCCAGGTAATGAACGATCATAATAACAAATAAGAGGAGTAGAAAAAAACAATACAAGTAACCAAAGACGTGTTACTGCCGGATCAGTTATTAATATTGATTCAGCTTTTTTTTTCATTTGAACACAATCAGCAAATAATTTTTTACCGTAAACATATTCTGCTGCTGTATTATCAATATTTACCTCAAGAAAAAAGCAATAAAATAAAATATTTCATTTTTTTTTTATTAGAAAAAAAAACTAAAGCCAATCTCATTAATATTTACCTGCCATGATTCAGTAAAACATGTTTGTTCAATTTCATGTAAATTCGGAAAAATTAATGAACGAATATTATGTTTACATAAATAATAACGATCAGAAATTGAAAGAGATTGAATTATTGGAATGGATGAAAGAAAAGATAAAAATGATTTTATATTACAAAGACGCATTGCTGTATGATGATGAATTTTTGATAAAGGTTGTTCAGAAAAATTAATTTCATTATTAAAAATATTTTGACGAGCTTGTGCAAAAATTTTTAAACAATAATTATCATAAGCATAAACTATATTTGATAAAAGTCTCCAATCTGTTTCTTTTAATAATTCATCATTAGGTGCAATAAGCTAAAACAAAAAAAAATGAAGATATCTAATATGATTCATAGGAGAAAATGATAATTTATACTGGAGCAATTTGAAGACATTTATTTTCTGATAATTTTAATAATTCTTGTTTTCGTTCACGATTGAGTTCAATAAGTTCTCTATATCGTTGTTTTTCTTCATCTGTCCGAACTAATTCTGTTTTCATACCAACATCAAAACAACGACGTAAACGACATGATGTGCAATAACGTACTTGAGAACAAATATTATTATTATTATTACACGGATTTTTATTTTCATATATTGAAGAATTAGAATCCATTAGTTGGCAAGGTAATTGAAGAATCTAGACTTTGTTGCTTCAATTAAAAACTACACATAAATACTCTAAAAACTTGTCTTACTTCTTTTCGGCGAGCATTACGACGAAAAAAAGCTATTTAAAGACTTGTAATATAAAATCATTTGAAAAACTAATGAAATACCTTTACATGGAGCGCATGTTAGTGCACCAAAGTTAACACCAACTGCTTTTGAACCGCATATAGAACAATCACGTGGAGTTAATAAATATCGATGTTTAGAATGATGACGTATTGTTGATGTTTGTACTAACATTCTTTCTATATAAAATAGACAATAATCGAATTTTTACTTTTCAAATTTAAAAAAAATTAGAAAATTTTTGTTACTAAAGAGTATAAATCTCTTTTTGATCTCAAAGTTTACTTTTATTTTACTGCATAAACTTTTGTTAATGCAGAAAAGTTCCACAATTTGACTTACTTATTCTAATATTTTCAATATAATTACAATTTTAAACAACTTTACTTGCTTTTTTGTAGTAAAATAAAATAAAAAATTAATATTATAGAATAATTAATTCATAAGATAAATCCTTTCTTATTGTATATTAGTTTGTTCTCTATTGGATAATATATTTTTTTATGCTTGTTGTCTAATTCTTCAACTTAAAGTTCGAATGCCACTTAAGCATTTAAATTCATCTTGAATATTTTCCAAAAAGTGTAAGATTAGATTCTAACGATGCTTTTTTCAAATAATTCGAAAACATAAGTTCACTGTTTAATATTTTACACCTTGACGTTAAAACTTACTAGATATGTTTAATTGATCATATAATACGACTGGAACATAGATAATAACGAGCTGTTTTGACCCACTTGTTTATATTATAGATTAGTCTGATTTGAATTATGTTTACACATCTATGAACATCTGAAATAATCATAAGATCGATAGGTGAACAATAAAAATAAAATATTCCATTTTTTTTGCATATTTCTATGAACATATAATATTCCTAGCTAATAAATAACAAAGAGTGAATAATATACAAGCAGTAAAAAAAAATCTAAGATTTTTATTGGTGAGTTGGAGGAAAAAACAAAAAATATTTAGAAAGAAACTCATTGATGAGAATAGTGTTGTTTTTTTAACCTACAACAATTAAAGCAAATAAAGTTTTTTCGCACACAAGATATCTAAAAATAAAAAAAAAAAGAGTTCATTAAAAACAAAAGAAAACAAGACATGACATATTAATCTGAATTAAATATAAGTCTAACACTTATTAAAGTACATTGTGTTATTGATGAAAATTCATATCAATATTTCTAGGTTAGAAAAAATTTACTTAGACACCTATATAAATATGTTGAGATAAGAAAAAAAAATGTACAATTCTTACTAATTTGTATTTATTTTTTAAAACTAAATAAACAATGTCATACTACAAATTAGTATTTTCTTTTGAAAAAATTTCTAAAGTCTTCTATTATCTAAATCATTATGTCTACATACAATACGAGTTTTATATTGGTTATGAATATTATAAGAACAAAAGAAGAGAGATAAAGAGAAAAAATGAATAATATTTTAGCTATTTTTAAAAAACATGTGCAATTTCTATTTTCAATTCAGTCTGGAAGATTGTGATTTTATGATATGCAAAATGGTTTTTTGTTACCTGTCAGTAAAGCTATCGTGTGATAGTTTCAGTCAATAAAATAATGAAAAAATAATATATGCATGCTACGTTATCTACAGAAAAAAAGCGTGTCATAATAAGTACATTTACCCATGCTTTAGTGTTCTATCAGGTCACTGTTCTTTCTTGTTCTGTTTCTTTTTGCACTTTGTCTTTTTTTTGTCTGATGTATTTTGAGTAAAACGATGTATATTTTGCCCTTTCAGTATAATAGAAAAAAAAAGTGCGATATAATTTAGTGCAAGTACTATTTTGTTAATTCCTTAGATATTAACCAGTAACAAGAAATTAGCTTAAATCTTTTAAATAAATTATTAATATTCAATTGTGAAGTGTCTATCAATCGATCGTAATTGCTTCAATCCTTGTAAACTAGCGATATCATTCGAAAAATAATAGATGAAATTCTAATCAATGCATTCGTTAAAAAAAGCCTGTGTAAACAAGTTAATTTTCTCATTAAAATTACTTAGGAAATGTTTCTCAAACGTCGTGGTTATCTGTCATTTTATTCTGTTATTTGACACTAATGTTTGAAAAATTGTTTTTCATATCTTATAATTACTGATAAATAGGCCTATTGAATAACGATGATAATTCTTGTTATTATTTCATTAAGGTAGAAGTCATCCGGAGATTGAATATGCTCTAGAAATCCATCTATGTAATACAAACTATATTACGCAGACTTTTAGAATCATCGATTTTTGAATAAATTCCATTATATTAACCTTTGTTAAGCTTTATTCTTGTAACAGAAATTTAACTATGAAAAAAATACATTCGATTTAGTTTCGCACGCATATTTTTTCAATTTTTTTTTAATAAGAAATAACCATATGTATAAAATAAAAAAGAATATACCTTTGAGAGAAAAGAGTAATGATAAATGTTATGTTTTGATTTTATACAGATATAACAATTCGATGAAGTTTTCATACAAATTCCTATTTTTGCATTTCTATTGATCCGTATTAATATCAAGTTGTACTAATTCATCGAGCGTTGTATCTATTGATATTAAATATTTTTCCATTCGTAATCTCATATGAATATCAATTCCAACACGTAACATATTTAAAAAGATTCGAATGACATTCGAATAAATTCGAACTGATTCCAGAGGACCATGACGATATAATAAATATATCCACAAAAGAGTTGCATACGTATTTTGAATATCAATAAAAGGTAACTTTTTCTTCACTTTTATTTTTTTTGATTTTGAATCATAATAAGAAAAAAGAGGTGTAGAAAAAAATAATACAATAATCCAAAGACGTGTTATTATTGGATCAGCTATCATTAATTTTTCAGCTAAGTTTTCAATGTGAGCAAATTGTTTATATAGTTCTGGACCACAGATAAATTCCATAATAGATTTATAGGCAACTATCTAGAAAGAAAAAGATTTGTTTTTTGTTTTTCAAATATAAACCTATCCATATTAATATATATTTTACCTGGCATGGTTCAGAAAAACATGATTGATTGAGTTCATGAAAATTAATAAAGATCAATGGACGAATGTTATTTTTACATAAAAATGATTGATTACTTCGTGAAAGAGATTGAAAAACGGGTAGTGATCTGAGAAATGAAGTAAGCGAAATGGTTAAACCTATTGGTAATAATCCATAGTTTTTCATTAGTAGTTCTTTTTGTGATATACCATGAGTAAACATATTTACACGTTGTTCAAGATAAAGTTTAACACAGCATGTGTCATAAGCATACACAATATTTGACAAATGACGCCAATCTATCCTACTTACTAAATCATTATTATTCACAATATGCTATAAAGTAAAATAACAAAAAAAAGTCTTATAGAAGATTATGAATGTGAAAGTAGAATAAAAATCTTCTAATGGTCTCGACTGAGAAGAAGTGAAACATTCTCTCGTTGTAGAAAAGTTTTGTTTCTAGAAAAACGTAATATTAAAACTAAGATAATTGACGGTAAACAAGGAAAGAGTGAATATTGAAAGAATTCCTACCAACTTTTTTCGGATTTGACGTTACTCCTTTCGGTATTTTGATCTTATACATTACTGTTTTTGACATTTTCCCATCAAACCCAAATTAAGAAAATTGTTAGTTTATATGTTGATTTCTAATGCTTAAATATTGATTGTGAAATAAAATAAATGCGTTCCATATTCAAACTTACGAAAGAAGTAGTCTAACTGAATACAATCTTTCGATATCATCTTTGAGTCTTAGTGAGATTGAAAAACTCCTAAAAGTGCTCATGTTTATGGCTCTTCGTTTCCAAACTACAATTAACGTTATTATGAAAATAAAGACATTCTTTTACTAATTTTATTTTTAAATTATCATTTATATAGGTAAATTCTACTTTGATCAAAAAGAAAGATGTCGAAAAAGAACATGGAAATAAAATGCTGAACGATTAAATGTCGAAAATAAAAAAAAAAAAAAAAAAAAATAAAAATGTCGCCCATCAGTGTCCAACATGGATCAAAGTTTTGTGACCTGAGTCGGACTTCGGTATCGATTATTTTTTTCAATTTGTTTTCTTCTCTTCATTTCCTAGTTTGAAATAGGTCAATCTTTCTATATTGTCATAATACACTCATTTCGATGTTAACTAAAATATGACATAGAAATAATATTATCAGTTAAACATGACTCATTGTACGAATGAATACCTAGAGACTAATCTCGAGAATTTTCAATGTTATCAAAATTTGCTTGTCTGTTGGTTCGTTTCTATACAATGAAAAGAAATGTTGAACTTCTGAGTTGACATATTGTTTATTTTATTGAAATGTGTTATGTTTTTGTCACTTCTATATGAGCTATCAATGTTATTAAAGTACAATTTGTTCATGTCTGATTTAAATATTGTTTCATTTTGTTTTTAGTATTTTGATGCCTTGGAAAAACTATATAAGTATGAACACTTTTATGACTTCTTTTGTCTCACTGACATGTACTTTTTCGTTAAAAGATCTAGATCAGTTGAAGTACTTCCTTCGTTAGTTTCATCTTAACATCAATGTTTAATTTATATTTTCTATTTATAAATTATAATGACATAAATTTTTTTTCTTTATATGAATATCTAAATTAACTTCCAGCAAAATTACACAGATATACTTCCTCTAACACTTAACATTCAAAATAAAAACAATAGGTTTTGTCATCTTGATGTATACAATAATTATTAAGTCTAATATTAGAAGTATGCGAAACTTTCCTTTGCAATCTCAATATCTATTATACATAGTTTATATTGTGATCGATGTCTCGTCAATATATTCCATCAGCTCTGCTAAACAAAGATAAAATCAAAACATAACCAAGTTTTATAGGATCCGCCGACTCATTTCTCAAAACAACAGATAAAAATAATAAGACATTGTCTTTGTAAATGATAAAGAATTATTGAAGTTAAATCAAAGAATTTTAAAATCTGTCGTAGTATTTATTATGAAACTTATATATCTATTCATTTACTTTAATATACAATTAAATGACTATCATAAATGACTAATAAAATGCTCGAAATCTTATTGTTTAAAGAACACAGACATCATTCCATTTCATACAAATACTTTTGACTTATGTTTTTTTTTCATTTTTATTGCGAATGTAAGAATTATTCTATATAATAATTGTTTTCTTTTTTTTTTGTTGGTTTTAATACGAGACATCAAAATATCTTTTATTATCTCAAAAAAGATTTAGATACCTGAACAATAGATGATTGCTTTTTTTGTTGTCGTTGTTTTATCAAAGTTCGTTGTATTCGATTACTATCAACAAGTTGTTTATGTTGTCTATTTTCTTCATCTGTTCGAATTAAATCTTCTTTCATGGCTACTTCAAAACAACGATGTAAACGACATGATGAACATCGACGAATTTGAAAATAGCGAATTGTTTTATCAATCATAGTAATATTTTTTTCTTTCAATAACTTTGTATCAGAATGATGACAAGGTAAATCAAAAAGCTAAATAATTATTAATTTTGATTAACAAAAAAAAGAAGAATTGCTTTCAAGATTTCAATTCTCACTTCTCTTCGTCCAGCATTTCGACGGAAAAATGCTTTTTTTTTTACAAAATAAATAAAAATTATGTTAACGAAAAACACAAAACAAAATTTTCTAAATACTTTCATACCTTTACATGGAGCACAGGTTGGTACACCGAAATTAATACCGATTGCTTTTGAACCACATATCAAACATTCACGATTAGATAATGTTGCTTGATGTCGATGATGATAATGAATAGTGCTATTCATTAGTTTGATTATTTGTTTCTATATACCAATATAAAATTAGAATAGATTTTCTCAATCGCATTTAAACTTTATTAGCAGAAAAAAAATTCTCTGTTTAACCTCAGTCTTTAAAAATCAGAATGTTTACGGTTTATGCGTGGAGAATTTTTTGATATTACACGACGTAGATATATTGTTGAAAATTTATAAAGTTCTGTTAGAGTTAATTAATTTTCTGCGAGAAAATAAATTAGAAGAAATTAGTTATTCTGATTTAGAAAATAAAAGAGATATGCCACTTCTAAAATATGTTAATTCGAGAAAAAGAAAATGAATTGAATAGTTCTAAAAAGTATGTACTAACTACTTTTTAAAAGAAAGTACACAGTACGACAGGTCATTTTCATATCTTTTCACTCGAAAAGACATAAAAATCATGTACTTTTTTCAGACTTTTGGTTTTTAAAAACACTACTTTTGAAAAGTGTTCTCTCATATTATCTAAATGTTGGTCTCTTTTGGTATCAGACCAGACATCTTATTACGCTTGAAAAAGCTAAAGATGTTAATTCAAGATATTTTTTTTACAGGATATGAATTAATGAAAATATGTAATGATCAAAGAAGTAATATTAATTTTCTTAATATTATGACATTGATTGAATATTGATGATAAATTATATTTTATTGATAAAAGTTGCCAAGAAAATATTTAAATAGAGAATAATAAATTTCACAGTTTATTATGAGAGAAAAAGACGTCAATTGTACGGTCTGTGTGTTGATATCGACAGAGGTGTAACTTAGTCCTAAAGGAAGAGAGTGTAAACTGATGGAGTCTCAGAAAAAGAAGAGGCTATGTGGACAATTTTCAAACGAAGGAAGTGGAGCGTCATATCCCCACGAACTAAACCTCTAATTATCGATACAATTTGATGGATATTATTATAAATAATTGCCTTATCTCAGATTACAATGACATCATTAGAATTCAATAATTAAATAGAAATCGAATGCTTTGATACTAAAAGAAAATGCATATTTAATTGATTTTTTTTCTATTTATGTTGCACTAGATTTATTAATTAATCATGAATCTATACTTTTTTTCTTAATAGTAATCTGAAGTTAAAGTGCATTGAACTTCTTATAACCAACAGTAAGAGAATTGGTTTTCGAAAACATCACATTTCTTACTGTTTAGATCATTTAAACAAAAATTTATTAATGAAAATCTTATTTAACTAATAGAAAAAGTTTTTTTTTTACATTATCAATCATTTAGATTAAAATTTTACTCAAATTATTTTTTCAATAATTTTTAAAGATTTTTCAAATAGCTTCTTATACAAGAATCAAACTTGCGAATGTTGTTTTCCTACAATATGAAAAACAACAAGACAATTTAATGAGGTTCGTGATAACTTATCTATAAATATCAGTTCAGCTTTGCATGACTTACGATTACCTTTATTTTTTCTTTCGTACATAAAAAGTACGACATTGTTAACTCAAACAACGTATTTCAAAAGTAATTTATTCTTTATTTAGAAGAATTCTAATGACTATATTTATTTCTGTTATTTTGACCTTTTTATTTAACAAATCTTTCTTGTGTTTTATTGTGATAGATACTTTATGCGTTCATAATAAATAAAACTTCCAGAACTTTTACAGATCAAAGAACAAACGTGAAAATTATATTAGTGATGTTTTTTAAAACTTCTATGCTATTTTGTTGTTCTTGATTAAAATTCATTAAAAGTTTCAATATTAAGAAACATTTTATTCCATGAAAAAACAAGAAAACGAAAAAAAAACTTTTATTACTATTTACAAAAAAAATAATAAACCGATTTTTACCAGCAAACACTAACAAATATTGAAAGAATGAAAAAAAACCTTGAGACGTTTTGCATATTCTCTCTTTTTGCTTTCTATAAGAGTGAAACATCGAACACGAGAAAAAAAAAGTAGGTTTACAGGTACAAATATTCATATTCTTGGTCTCTTTATTATTATTTAAAATGGTACAATCTTTTAATTGTAAATTTTTTCGCGTTTTTTTTGCTACACTATCATCATTGTTATTCGAATCAACCGTTCTAGCATCGTCGATATGGATATACTGCTTGCAACTCATAATGCATATTACATTTAGTGCATTTGTAAAATAATAATCTATTATTAAATACATATTGCACAAAATTAGAGGCAAATAAAATATAAGAAAAATAAAATCTTAATTAATATCTATACTATATGAAAGTGATTTCTTACTACTAGAGTAATGTATGCCATATCGCAAAATCAAGGTTTTTATTTTATTTTTTTCTTTTGATTATTAATTTATTAGATATAATTCTTTTGGGAATGAAATCTTTCCATTCATGCAATATGATTATACAGAATTTTTATTTGATTTCCTTATTAATTATTTGATAGAATTTAAAACAATAATAAATTGTTTTATTTTTGTCGTTCGTTTATTATTATTTTCTAGACATGATTATATTATTTGATTAAGTACAGCGAGATTTACAGATAACACATGGAAAATATAAAACATAACATGTTTTCTGTCATATTTGAAAGCGTTTGAATCCGTTTTCAATGATGACTTTATTTAGAAAAACAAAATTCAACTCATTATTTGTAATAGTTTTCAAAATTCCCATTCTTTGATCGTATTCTATTCTGTAGCAAGTTTAATGATAAACATAAAATATTTTAACAATAATAGATAGAAAAAAGGATTACTTAGTGTTCTTATTTATACCGTTCAAAATAAATCAATATTGTTTTTCTACATGACTAGACGTTTAACAGCTTCCAGTTCTTTCTACTAGAAGAATCGAGCCAGATATGTTATTTCGAAGGCTTCTTTTTTTACAAGAACTGACTTTATAGATCAGCCTTTTTTGCATGAACTGGATAATTGAACATCGGAGTTTTTTTTTTCTTCTAGATTTAAAATTCTGACAGCTGCATTTCAGAACATATGTGCAATTTAAGTAAATTGCCCGGAAGAGACCAGTTAAGATATTTAGTGACAACAACTCACATAAAAAAAATTGATGACTAATTCTTGTTCTTTTCAAAAGCACAGTTTGATCGAATTCAGTTTAATTACTCGATCGGGATATGTCACACGTCTATAAATGACGAAAAGCTATCTATTTCAAAGATAAATGTATTTTCAAAAACAAAGAATGTGAAATAAATTCTGATTCCTTAGAACAATATTTCTTTTTTTGTTACATACGTGTATACTATCGGAGAATGGTATTTACAGAATGTATATACTAAATTTCTGGATTTAATCTAGGCTAGAATGACAGCTTTATATGCATTTTTGTTAGAAAATTACAAGTAACAAAGTATATCTGGTTTATTATGTACTAAAATGAATTGAAACTTTAGCTCATTTTGTAAAATATTTAATAGACTATTTGTATGGATTGTTTGATGTAATTTGTTATACTCAAAACTCTCAGTGAATTAGTCTCATTTAGATAGATAAAATAAAAAGATTTTTAACTGATTCAGAAAAACAGTAGTTATGCATTAAATCATTCAGTCATTGTGACAAGAAAATGTTTTTAACTGATTAATCGCTTTTGAATTCGGAGTCAATGCATAAGACAGAGTTCAATGAGATATGAAAAAACTTCAAAAAGATAAGTGCTCTTAGGTCTTCTGTCTAAAGTTATAGATATTTCGCTAGAATTTAATTCATCGGACTTGGTGAATATCAATATATCGGATTACGCTGTTTTGACCTGAAATTTTGTCCATACACAAGTCTATTTGTTAGTAGAATAATCTGAAAATTTCAGTTCAAGAGAATATTTTTTTCTCGCTTTTATATTCAAGTCCCAAAAAACACTTATATCTCATAAAAGATGTTAGAATTTTCTGATTTTTCGTCACTTTAATATCTTGGAAAGGAAAGATTTTTTTGAGCTGAAAGTTTCAGAACATTCTACTGACAAATAGACTTGTGTATGAACAAAAATCTCAGACCGAAATACTATCATTCGACTTGTTTATATTCACTATAATCTCAGGCTAAAATTCTAATTAAATAGCTATAACTCTGCATAGAAGTCCTAAGAGCATTTATTCTTTTGAGAGTTTTCATATTTCATTGGACTTTACCTTATGCATTGACTTTGAATTCAAAAGCGATTTATCATTGAAAAACGTTCTCTAGTGAGAACGATTTTGTTTTATTTCATATAATTTGATACATACGTTTTCTGTTTTTCTAAACGTCAGTGTATGACTCGAGGAGAAAAGCACAGATCACGCAATTTTTTTTACGAGTCACCATGATGTAGGCAAATAACAAAAGTGGAAGAGTCGTATAAAGTAATATGAAAGTTATTTATGATATGTGTGTGATTGTAAAATTAATTACATATTTTCTGCCTACGTATTGATTAAAAAAATTCAAGTCTTGATAGTTTTGTTGTTACTTATTTCTCTGTAACAATAATACGTACAAAATTGAAATTCTCATCTAGATTAAATCAATATATCTAGTGTATTTGCTATGAATATCAATCTCTGCCAGTATGGACTTATGCCAGAAGACAAAAAAAGAAAAATGAAAATCATTTGAGTAAATCAAATCTTATTTTACGTTTATTATTAACCATCGTGAATCAGGTGTCAAATATAGTTTGCTGTCACGGCTCAGTGACTACGTTGATCGATATGTGTTGACGAGGTACTGTATGCAAATTTCAGTACCAGCAGCTATGAGATGACCCTGAACAAGTCACTAATGGCTATTTATCTCCGATTACTCGTTCCAAAGCATGTTGACTAAGTTGTAACATACACTTATTCTTGTGGCTAGTTAACGTGTACACGATGAGTTCAAGTAATGGAACGCAAGAACTCTGCGTCAAGCCAACCTTCTGTCTAGAACTACAGCTAGTCATGGTTGTAGAGAAGATATCAGGCATTTGAGTGTGTCTCAAGGCAAGGGTATTCTTCGTTCTTCCAAATAT